CATCATTGAAGCCGCCACTTCGTCTTATACCAACGCCTGAGCCCTACTACTAACACTAATCGCCACCTCCCTAACAGCTATTTACAGCACTCGCATTATTTTCTTTACTTTACTAGAACAACCTCGCTTCCCTCCTCTCTTAAACATTAATGAAACTAACCCCATACTAATTAACCCTATTAAACACCTATTAATCGGAAGCATCTTTGCCGGATTTATTCTCTCCAACAGTATACCCCCAATAACTACCCCTCTAATAACTATACCTTTATACCTAAAACTAACAGCCCTTATAGTAACAACCCTAGGCTTTATTCTCGCATTCGAAATTAACACCTACTCAAAAAACCTAAAGTATCCCTATCCATCAGACTCTACTAAATTCTCTACCCTGCTAGGTTATTTCCCTACAATTATACATCGCTTACCCCCTCACCTAGTCCTAACAATAAGCCAGAAATTTGCAACCTCCTTGCTAGACCTAGCCTGAACAGAAACCATTCTACCAAAAACTATAGCTCTCATTCAACTAAAGGCCTCCACACTAACTTCAAACCAAAAAGGCCTTATCAAACTCTACTTCCTATCTTTCCTCATCACTATAACCCTTAGCATGCTACTATTTAATTACCCCGAGTAATCTCCATAATAACCACCACACCAATAAACAAAGACCATCCAGTAACAACAACCAACCAAGTGCCGTAACTATACAACGCAGCAATCCCTATAGCTTCCTCACTAAAAAATCCAGAATCCCCTATATCATAAATGACTCAATCTCCTAACCCATTAAACTCAAACACAACATTCACTTTTCCACCCTCTAAAACATACAACACCACTAAAAATTCTACCACCAAACCTAAAAGAAATCCCCCTAGTACAACTTTATTAGAAACCCAAACCTCAGGATACTGCTCAGTAGCTATAGCCGTTGTATAACCAAACACAACTAACATTCCTCCCAAATAAATCAGAAATACTATTAGACCTAAAAACGAACCCCCAAAACTAAAAACAATTCCACATCCCATAGCACCACCCACAATCAACCCTAAACCACCATAAACAGGTGAAGGCTTTGAAGAAACCCCCACAAGACTAATTACAAACATAGTGCTCATAATAAAAACAATATATATTGCCATTATTCTCACATGGACTCCAACCATGACCAATGACATGAAAAATCATCTTTGTAATTCAACTACAAGAACCTTAATGACCAACATCCGAAAAACACACCCACTAATAAAAATTCTCAATGACGCATTTATTGATCGTCCCACTCCATCTAACATCTCCTCATGATGAAACTTTGGCTCCCTACTAGGCCTCTGCCTAATCATACAAATCCTAACAGGTTTATTCCTAGCAATACACTACACGCCAGACACCTCAACTGCCTTTTCATCAGTCGCACACATCTGTCGAGACGTTAACTACGGTTGACTCATTCGATATTTACACGCAAATGGAGCCTCTATATTCTTCATCTGCCTTTACGCCCACATCAGACGCGGCCTATACTATGGCTCTCATATATTCCAAGAAACATGAAACACTGGCGTACTCCTACTATTAATAGTTACAGCTACTGCATTCGTAGGCTATGTCCTACCCTGAGGACAAATATCATTCTGAAGCGCAACCGTTATCACTAATCTCCTATCAGCAATCCCTTACATTGGCACTACCTTGGTAGAATGAATCTGAGGCGGGTTTTCCGTAGATAAAGCAACACTAACACGTTTCTTCGCTTTCCACTTTATCCTCCCATTCATCATCACAGCATTAGTAGCTGTTCACCTGCTATTCCTACACGAAACAGGATCCAATAACCCCACAGGAATCCCATCCAACATAGATATAATCCCATTCCACCCTTACTACACAATCAAAGACACCCTAGGCGCTTTACTATTAATCCTAACCCTGCTAGCACTAACTCTATTCACACCTGACCTATTAGGAGACCCCGATAACTATACCCCAGCAAATGCACTAAGCACCCCTGCACACATCAAACCAGAATGATACTTCCTATTTGCATACGCAATCTTACGATCAATTCCCAATAAACTAGGAGGAGTACTAGCACTACTACTTTCCATCCTCATCCTAATCTTTATTCCAATACTTCAAACATCCAAACAACGAAGTATAATATTCCGACCCTTTAGCCAACTCTTATTTTGAACTCTAATCGCAGACCTCCTAACCTTAACATGAATCGGAGGCCAACCTGTAGAACACCCATACATCATCGTAGGCCAATTAGCATCTATCCTATACTTTCTCCTAATCTTAGTGCTAATACCAACAATCAGCCTTATTGAAAATAAACTCTTAAAATGAAGAGTCTTTGTAGTATAACAAAATACCCCAGTCTTGTAAACCGGAAAAGGAGAACCCCATTCCTCCCTAAGACTCAAGGAAGAGACGTTAAACCTCACCACCAACACGCAAAGCTGGAATTCTACATAAACTATTCCTTGAAAAAGCTTATTGTAGAGTTACCATAACACTACAGTACTATGTCAGTATTAAAAGTAATCTGTTTCAAAAACATTTTATTGTACATATCACATACACATATACACATGCATATTAATATTTTAGTCTCTCCTTGTAAATATTCATATGTACATGCTATGTGTTATTGTGCATTCATTTATTTTCCATACGGTAAGTTAAAGCTCGTATTAAATTTCATTAATTTTACATATTACGTATAAATTATTGGTCGTACATAGGACATGTCCCTAAATCAGTTTAAGTCAACTAACATTATGGCCCCTCCATTAGATCACGAGCTTAATCAGCATGCCGCGTGAAACCAGCAACCCGCTCGGCAGGGATCCCTCTTCTCGCACCGGGCCCATACTCCGTGGGGGTAGCTAATGGTGATCTTTATAAGACATCTGGTTCTTACTTCAGGACCATTTTAACTTAAAATCGCCCACTCGTTCCTCTTAAATAAGACATCTCGATGGACTAATGACTAATCAGCCCATGCTCACACATAACTGAGATTTCATACATTTGGTATTTTTTATTTTGGGGGGGGGCCTTTAAAAACTTTAAAAAGTTTTTAAAAATGGATTAAAGACTTGAACTTAAGACCGGAAACTATGAAATTCCTAGAGGAAAACATAGGTGGTAAGTTACTTCACATTGGTCTTAGCAAATATTTTTTGGATTTGACACCAAAAGCTAAGGCAACAAAATCAAAAATAAACAAGTGGGACTACATCAAACCAAAAAGCTCCTGCACAGCAAAGGAAACCATCAACAATACAAAAAGGCAGGGACTTCGCTGAGGTCCAGTGGTTAAGACTCTGCGCTCTCAATGTAGGGGGCCCAGGTTCGATCCCTGGTCAGGGAACTTGATCCCACATGCTGCAACTAATAGCCCGCATGCCACACCTAAAGATCCCACACGCAGCAACAAAGATCCTGTGTGGCACAACTAAGACCCAGTGTGGCCAAATAAATAAATAATAAAACAGCAACCTACTAAATGGGAGAAAATATTTGCAAATCATATATCTGATAACGGGTTAGTATCCAAAACATATAAAGAACTCATACAACTCAATAGCAAAAAAATAGTCCAATTAAAAAATGGGCAGATCTGAATTGACATTTTTCCAAAGAAGACATACAAGTAGCCAACAGGTAGACAAAAGGTGCTCAACATCACTAATCATGGGGGATATTATGGAAATCATAACAGGTATGAGATACCACCTCATACCTTTTAGAATGGCTATCATTAAATAGACAAGAAATAACCAGTGTTGGTAAGGCTGTGGAGAAAAGGGAACCCTTGTGTATTCCTGGTGGGAAAATAAATTGGTGCAACCACTATGGAAAACAGTATGGAGGTTCCTCAAAAAATTAAAAATACAACTACCATATGATCCAGCAATTCCACTTCTGGGCATTTATCCAAAGATAATGAAAACACTAACTTGAAAAGATATCTGCACGTCTATGTTCACTGTAACATTATTCACAATAGCCAAGATAAGAAATAACCTGTGTCCATCAACAGATGAATGGATATAGAAAAAAATGTGTGTGTGTGTGTATACATACATACATACATACACACACACACACACACATATATATAATGGAATATTATTCAGCCATAAAAAAGAAGGAAACCTTGCTATTTGCAACAACATGGATGGACCTTGAAGGCATTATGCTGAGTGAAATAGGTCAGACAGAGAAAGATGAATGAGACAAATACTGTACAAACTTCAAGTAATAAATAAGTCATGGGGATGTAATGTACAGCATGGTGGCTTTAGTAACTAATACTGTAGCGCATATTTGGAAGTTGTTAAGAGAGTACATATTAAAAGTTCTCATCACAAGAACAAAAACGTTTTGTAACTAGTATGGTGACAGGTGTTAACTAGACTTACTGTGATCACCTCACAATATAAACAAATAGCTAATCACGTTGTCCACCTGAAACTAATATGTCAATTATACCTCAATTAAAAAAGAACACTTAATGTCCTTCTAAGAGGGGACTCCCAGTGTCCCTCTCTCAGGAGGCTATGTACTAACTGGGGAGTCTGAGGGGAGCCTCCCCATCCTAAGAGAACCATGGAGGAGGTCAGATGAGGGACAGCTTGTCCTCCCCAGGCTGGTCCTGGGAGCTAGTTAGCTGGCCTGTGCTGGGGGAGGGGATGTCAGAGTCCTTCAGAAGTGCTTGGCAGAATCAAGGCAGGAGCAGGGAGACCTAAGGCTCTCCGCCCCTGCTGCCACCCAGTCAGCTGGGCTTCTGTTTTCTCTCCCGGAGTTTGTGTTGGTCTCCCTTGTGGAAAAGGGTGGGCAGCCTAGAAAAGCGTGGAAGCCCTCCACCGCCGGCTTACAGGCCAAGTAACAGCTCCCAGGCCTGGCACACACAGCACCTGGACAGGGTTCTTCCTCCCCTCACCCAGTCCTCCTGACTGTCGTTCCCCAGACCTTACCTGAGAAAAAGAAAGATGGTTCTCGGGGACTTGGCCCTCGGGTTCTCGGGGGCCTGGCGTTCCAGGTGTGGCCTGAGGGCCTCTAGCAGTCCTGGGTGCAGCTTCTCAGCCTCATCTAAAATGAACAGGGTCTGGTGGCAGTGCTCCTGCGTCTTCCTGATCTGGCCTGCCAGCTGCTCCTGCACAGAATACAGGGAGCTGCTGAGGTGCAGTGAGAGGCACCTTCTACCCCCGCGGGCCCTGGTGAGGCACTGGTTTCCCCAGGGCGCCTGCAATGGATCACCTGGAGCTGGCTTCCACCGCAGAACCACCAATCCAAACCTCTGGGGGTGGAGCTAGGGCATCTGCCTCTAATGAGCTTCCCAGGTGATTCTCCTGAGCCCTGAGGTTTGAAAGCCAACTAGGTGGAGCCAGCCTGGGGAAAGGGAGAGGGCCTTTGGGAAGTGGCCCCAGCCATGCTCCCTCCCCTTCAGGATGAGGTTCCATCCCAGAACTAACCCTAACTCACCCTCCCCAGGGATAGGATTCAGGCTTTCACAGGGGGGTGACAGGCAGAGATAGGCTTGAATGCCCACAGGTGCCATCTTGAACTCCCACAAGCAGAGCACCCGCTGGCACCAGGCTGGGCTCTCGGGGAAGAACCCAGGGGAGGACCTGTTTGGGACCCAGCCAACTCAAAACTGGGGTTCCCCACCCCAGGCAGGATTGTAAGCCCTCTAGTGAAAAGATGCTGCTCTACAGGGTTCAGGAGAACAGGGCCAGCTCCTGCCCCAGGGTGGGGTGTTTTAGCAGAGCCCACACTCACCATCCACCTCTAGCCTTCCTGGATTCTGACTTCAGCCCCATCTCCCCATAGTGTGTGTGAGAGGATGGGCAGGGATGAGAGTGATTTTCACAGCGAGGAAGCTGAGATTCACAGCTGTTTTACTGCAAAGCCAGCCAGTTCTTTCTGGGAAGGCCCGGCTGACCAGCTGCCTGCCCTTAGAACACATTAGCCTACCCCTGCCCTCCTGGGCTGCACTGAAAGATTGCCAGGCAATCTGTCCTCAAAGGCTTACATAATCTTCCCAGGTTAACACACTACAAATATTGGAACTAAAAGCCAAACGTAGACACAACCACCTCTGTCATGCTGCAGTGGGGTCTGGTCATCGTCTGGCTAACATGTCTGAATGAAACCCAAAATAGCAGAGCAGCAGAGACACTTTCTGCTCTCCACTTGTTGACATATAATGAGTAGTTTGGGGAAGACATGGAAAAATCACTTTCGATAAGCCTGTTTAAAAAAACAGTGGGATATGCAACTTTCTGTCCAGTATAATTACAGTGACATAAAAGAGCACAGGGGAATGGCCTGAAGGAAGTACACCAAAATGCTAACTGTGGCGGTGTCTGTGTGGGGAGATCATGATAAAGTTTTTGCTTTCTCTGTTCCACACTTCCTGAGGCCTTTCCACTACTCCTGTGACAGAAAAATCAACACACGAAGTCTCTGGTTAAGCTCAGTGTCTGGCCTCTCCTGTATGGCTGGGAGGGCGACAGCTCGGGACGAATAGCGTTTGGGACATCACTCTTTCCTCCACATGTTCAGGGCCTCATCTGTGTGGAGTGGATGCCTCTGTGGGTTACAGGTTCCCTTGCAACTGCGCCCCCGTCCTCCAACCGCCACACCCAGGGCTGGCTTCAGCCCCCCTCCCAGCACGGGGGCCTGCGCCTCAGCTGCCGGAGCCTTAGCCGGGCTCGGCCCCACTAGCCCAGCTCCCCGGCACGGCCGGCCTCACCTGGTACAGGTCCACATACTTGTGGTGAGGAAAGTGCAACGTGGCGATGAACACCTTGACACAGTCGCTCCTCAGCCCGTCCCGGTACAGGTTCTCTGCCAGCATCCGCGCCACGAAGTTCTTGCCTGTGCCAGACCAGCCGTGGAACGACAGAGCCAGGGCCTTGTCTGGCTGGGGCAGCTCCAAGTAGCCCCTGGCTGCTGTCAGGACCAGCTCCTGGGCCAGGTGCTGGCCATGCAGGCGCACGCGCAGATCCGCCTCTAGGCCTAGGGCCAGGAAAGAGCCATGCTGAGAGGTGCCCACAGGTGCATCCCCACCAGGCTCGGCGACAGCTGAGAGACTGAGCGTCTATGAGGTGGGAGCCATCCTGTTTGCTGGCCTCAGGACAAGAAGCCACTGGGCAGACCTTGCAGCGGAAGAGTTTCAGGGCTATTTTCTGAAGAGTATGAGAAATCAATGTTGACTTCACCCTTTCTGAAGGTCCTGAAGACACCCCAGAAAGGTTGGCAGAATCCCATCCGGATGAGGAAGTTGCTCCCACCCAGAAGTTTCAGGACCCCCTAAATATTTTATGGAGACACCCTCATTTTATTCATTCTAATTCAATTCAGCAAACACCTAGTGGAGGCAGCTAGTGTGTGCAAAGCCCTCCTCCAAGGCTTTCCTTCCTCTCAGCCATGAGGTTGCAGGGTTTCGATCAGGAGCCGTGGTGGAGACAGGGAGGGTGTGCTGCCAGCTGTGGGCAGGCAGAGGTTGGGTCCCTTCATCCTAGCATTTTCCTGAATTACCTCCCCTCCCCACAGATTCCTGGGCCTGAGGGTCATGTAAGGTCCAACCTGTGAAGTTATTGATGATCCTGCAGTCCCCACTGTCACAACAGTCCCGGAAGCTGCAGTACCAGGTGGTCAGGATATCCAGGTACTGCTGGCCCAACAGGGGAAGGCTCCAGCCTGGAAAAGGAGGAGCTGTGAGACAGGGACGGAGCCCAGGGCCCGGGGAGAGCTGAGCACTGCCTCCCTTCTCCCGTCCTCTCTCCAGAGCCACTCCCTGCTGCTCTGCCCTGGGCCTTCCTTGTGCCGCACTAGGGAATGGGCACAAATGGGCACCTCCGGCTATGAGGAAGTAGATGGCCTTGCTATATATAGATGCAGCTCCGGCTGCAGCAAAAGCTCAGTTTACTCAACAAATAAGCCTTAAGCATTTGTGCCAGACGTGTAAGAAACCCAAGCCCTGCCTGCAAGGAGTTTGGAGCCTAGGAGGGAGACACATAGTAACTGGTGATTATCATTCTTCCTACTTGCTTTGGATTGCAGAATCATCTGATCACGGCCAACCCCAAGTGTCTCGATTCTTTTATCAAATGTCAATTTGAATATGCCCAGCATTAGCAAAAACGAAACAAAAACCATTCACTGGAATTTAGAACTCTCGATTTAAATGGAAGATGTTTCTAGCACCACTGCAGCATTACCGTTACAGTACTATTACAGGACCTAGAAGTAACGACATCGACTGCAAGGAGCTTCAGAGATCACTGGGTCCACGACCGTGACGTGACAACCCTGCCTCACAATTTGTCAGTGACAGAGAATAAATCAGAACTCAGGTCCGGTGGACTCACAGCCCAGCCTCCGCCGCCATAAGCAGCAAAGGGGAAGAAGGTACTTGGGGGTGTATCCAACCGGGGACTTTCCTTAAAGCCATCAAGAAGGTGGGCAAGGGCAGCTCCTTGGAATGATGCCAGGGCAGGTTCGGAGACAGCAAGGAAGTGTGATCCGTCTGGAGGAGTCAAGAACGGGTGACGTGGGGGAGCGCAGCCAAGTCCACTCGTAGGCACTAGGGCGCTGCGCCAGGGCTGGGAAGGAGGGCAGTGACGGGCCTTCCTGGTCCCGCAGAGGCTCCCTGCCCTCAGCCTGGCCCAAAGGCTGGGCGGAATAGCAAAGCCGGCGGCTAAGGCGCCCGCCTCGTGACCCCGGTCACAATGGCCCAGAGCAGGCGCGAGGCTCTGACCTCCGTGCCCAGATTCCATCGTGCCTCGCGCACCCAGTCCGCGCTCTCCCGCCCTCCTGAGCCGGCGGGTCTTACCCAGGGGCCGCGCCGGCTCCTCCTCATCCTGCCTGCATCCCTCGGGCCACACGCGGCAGCTGAAGAGAGCCCAGTAGCGTCTGCAGAGGGCGCCGGCCGCCCTCAGCCGCTCCCGCAGGCCCTGGAAGGCCGGGCAGGACCCGGCCTCACCCGCCTCCTCGGCTCCCTCCCTCGGCCTCGCGCGGCCGCCGTCTCCCCACGTGCCCGGGGGCGGCAGCAGCAGCAGCAGGAGCAGGAGCCAGAGCGGACTCCGCGGGCGGCGAAGCATGGCCGGGTCGGCAGCCGGTCCCTCCGCCGCCCGTCCTCCACGGCCCTTTCCAGCCCCGGGTGGGCGGGCGGCGCCGGCACTTCCGAGGCCCGGATTGGCCGGGGATTGGCGTTGCCACGGGAACCGCAGGCGGGCAGAGCTCGCCTCCCATGTGACCCAGGGCGAGCCAGACGCCGGCCGGGAACCGAAACCCGGATGGTGCCCCGGAGGGCATCCCGAGGCCGCTTGCAGGCGCCGCCCACCCACCGGGGACTCGCTGCCAGGCAGCAAGCAGTCTCTTCTGGGTGATTGTGGTTGCAAAGAAGTTGAAGTCAGGCCTTAAGATGGCCACTGTCAGTAATCACCCAGATACTTCCGGGCAGCTCTGGTGGCCCATCTGAGGCCTACTTAACACGGGCACCCACTTGTGCCCTGACCCGTGTCTGCAGATCGACTTCTTGCCAACCTGTTAGACGAAGTCGGGCAACCATCTCACCCAGGAGTTTGAGTTGGCCAGGGCAGTCAGCCGGGGCCTGGCTCCTCTACAATGGGAAATGAAACAGAGTAGCAAATAATCAGCAGGTTTCCACAGCTGGAGTCCACCAAAAGCAAGAGGAAGCTGGTGGGCTCCAGTCTGGAGATATTGGGGCTTTGGAAGCTCCCAGAGCCATGGGAAAATCACGAGGTCTCATATCAATGTTATCATAGCCCATTAAAAACAAGTTAGGCCGAGTACTGGGGGCACTTCCTTGGCTTTAAGTTTGCAACTTTCAAACGCTTGTGGCTGTGAGCAGCTTCTCAGACACCACTGGCAAAAGACCTTGGAGCCTCTTTCCTGGGACTCTGTTCTCATAACCTGAGCAGGTAACAAGGTCGCTACATTTTGGAAGAGCTTAATGCATTTTTCAAAATCACCTGAGTTACTGAAGTCACTGGCCTAAGAGCCCTCTTGTCCTAGAAAGAAACTGCTGTCTCGAAATCATGAGACTTGACTAATTTCATAGGCTCAGGGGCTTTGAGGCTGGCCTCTCCATACAATAAGGTGAATCCTAGCACCAGATCTGTCACAGCCAAATTGATTCATATGTTCATTCCAGTCTCTTAGATAACACTCAACGCCAGGTCTGTTCCTTCCTCAAGAGCTCACCAAATGTGCTCCTGCCTTTAATTCAAACAGCAATAGAGAAAGAAAAAGACTTACAAAAACAAATCCAAAACAATGAACAAAATGGCAATAAGAATATACATATTGATAATTTACAAAAAAGAAAAAAAAAGACAAGACAAACAGCTGCATATATCAGATAAGCACCTGTGTGAGGATACCAAGAAAGTGAAATTGAAAAGCTACATTATGTATGCATATTGTATGTTTTAGTCATTCAGAGGGACGTCAGAACTGAACTCAAACCTTCCACAGAGCAGTTGCTAGTACACCAGCACTGAGTTGTCTGCAGTCAAGCTCGTGAAACCCTTGGAAGGACAGTTAACAAGGAACACACCATTATGCTTATTTGGAAATTGAAAACATTAACTCATTCAATAAATGTTGTTTGAGCATGAATGGCAATCTAGTATAGTGATTAACTGAATGGCCCCTTTTCTGATATGTCACTTTGGGTGTTACTTAACTGTGCTATGCCTCAGTTTCCCCACCTCTAAGAGGGGATAATAAAATGGTCACTTCATAGGCATGCTGTGAGGGCTAATGAGCTTATTCAGTTCTACATTAACCTTTATTATTGTAAATGCCCCCGCCTTGGAGGAGACTGGTCTACACAGGAGGCTTTGGAAGACTTTATTTATACTTGTGAGCTTCACAGGTGAATTTATGGTGATAAAATTACTAGTATTTACCCTGGCTTCTTTTTTAAAAAAACCCATGTTTTAAGACTATGGAAATAATTCTCTACTGGTAACTTTCATGTAGGTCTGATAATTTTTGAGATTGGATTTTTATTTGGATTTCACATTTCATGGTAAATAAAGCAGGTAGCTTGGAAGTTCTTGGACAATTTGATTTCAAGACATCTTTTTCCGGAAAGAGTAAACTTTTTTTTTTTTTTACCAGATCAGTCCCACATAGAAACAATGAATCCAAACACCAGTTTTTAGCTAAGCCTCTATTTCAAGTAAATTGCTAATATTTCATTCTCAGTGCTTGGAAGCTACTGGTTGTAACTCTAGGAGCAAGATCTCATAGATGATGGGGACATCTAGAGGCTTTTGTGAAAACTACGGGTAGCTTTGATTCCTTAGTGCTACTCATGAATGGCCCAAGGACCAGTGGCACTGGCATTGCCCTGGAGCTTGTTAGAAATGCAAACTCAGGCCCCAAACCTACTCAATCAAAATATGCATTTTAGCACAGTCTTTCAAAGAGAAAATGGGCACCCAGCACCTTTATTGAGGTCATCTGAATGGGACCTAGCTTTGCAATTAGACAACTTCCCTACCCCGCTGAAGGCCGTCAGAACACCATCCGCCTTGAAAACAACCTTTGGGTAAAAATCAAGTCTTGATCGCCAAATAAATTTGGCATGTAATAAGCAAACTCTGAAAAGATACAATGAATGTTTCACAGCTAATCTATAAGCCAATGGCTCCTTTAACACCTATGAAGAGCAACTGAAGCATCACAGTGGACTGAGACTTCCTCTCAAGAGGCAGGGCACACCTGATGAAAACCAAAGGAAACCCCTGAAGGGTTATTTCTGGTGACCCACGTACTGAAAACAGAGTACAGGCCCAGGAAGCTCTGTGTCTTCCACACACACGGCTTTGCATTTCTGGAGTCGGGGTCTACACACACCACATGTCAAGCCTGGATTGATCTCCCCTTCTTCCCCAAGGTAGGTCTGCCTACCTCTCACCCTCAACCTCCTGTGATTCTTTCCTGCTCCTTATTTCCACTCTAATTCACACGATTCCTGAGGCATTTGGTACTTCACAAGTAGTCTCTTCTGCTAGGACTATGGGCTCCTTGAAGGAAGGGACAGTCATTATCATCTTGATGGCCTCCAGCACAAGGCCCAAGTGTCTACTGAAGACCAGTACTTTACACACTGTGACTTCATTCTCTAATTCCCTCGGATTTATAAAGTGGCTTATCTTACAGAATTCACCCATGCTAAACCAGTGGTTATGACCATTCTTGTCTATTTTACAAAATGAGGGCTGCTAAAAATCAGTTTTTATAGGCAAATACAGTGGGTAAAATGAGCCCATAATAGAACCTCTCCCTCCTTACTCCCAGCTGCCTTTTCAGGCTTTAATACTGGTCTTTCTGGTATGCTTGAGAAGAAAATGAAATCTCACCTGGAAAATGATCGTATGAGGTGAGTCAGCAAGGAACCTGTTAACTAGGCTTTAGCCTCCCTTTGGTATTCAAGTGCAAGTGACAAAAACTGGCACAAACAAAAATGCTACAAATCAAGTAAAAATCTTGAGAACTCTGCTCAGTTGTTTGGTTGAGGTTTATGATGCTGCATTTCCATTTCAAAATTTAAAAGTCTGGGTGTCCTAAGAATTATAATCAGGGCAGCTGGTCTCTTCTTCCAGGCCTCTATGATACTGTGCTGACAAGTTCTTTGGGATTCATAATTCTTTATCTCTAAAGAAGCTGAAAGAAAGAAGTTAACTATTAAATAAACAAAAAGCACCTAAGAATTATCCTACTGAAATTCTCGGTTCAGTCACAACCTGATATGGGCCTTCTGAAGACTAGTGAGAAGTGTAAAGGTCTCATCCGTAGATTCTGTGAAACAATCCCTGTGGAAGTTTATGTGGATGAAGAAGATGTAATCTTCTGTCCCCTAACAAAACAGGAAATCGCAATTGAAAACAATGGAAGTATCCTGAACCGGGGTGGGGAGGTGGGGAAAGAATGAGGAAAAGATGGTACATCAGTACTTATTAAAATCTTTATTCATTTTCTTTCTTTCAGAATTGAAACCCACAGAACACATTAGAAATTTAGGTGCATATCTGTCTTGTTTGGTATCTTACCAAGCACAACCTCTATTTGTGCAACAGCTCTGAGAGGAAATCCTTGGCAGATCAAAACAGAGGGTAGTGGTTCCTACACCTCTCTTTGAAGCAAATAAATTAACTTCCCAGTAAGTTATTCCCAGTTCCCCCACAGACATTTTGTATTTGTGAGTAACACCTTAGTTCCTTAAAACCCTGTGGCAGTAGAGTATCCAGCCCTCACCTTTTCAACCCAGACTTGAGGCGTCGAAGGGGGAAAGCTGGCCTTCCCCTGCACAACAGTCTCATGAGGCTGGTCTATGTGCCTCGGGCGTCGGCCCTGGCTAGCACAGGAGGTGTTTGCTGAACGGATATCTTTATGTCACTTAGATTCACTCTCAGAGACTAAGAGAACCTTTTCCTAGCTTCAGGTTCTTCAGCAACAGTGTTTCCCTGTGTCAAAATAAATACATTTTTTCTTGTTAGAATACATATATGACTATATATATACATATACCTTGACTCATGTTTCCTGAAGCCCAAGCTCACAAGACGACTCACATAAGACAGCTCACTGATAGATGCTGTTTACCATCATTTGAGGTGTGGTCAGGTAATGGTCAAACAAGAATACGGAAGCTGTGGAGAAGGGAGAGTGAAGGAACATGGTGGATGGGAGGGGAAGGCCAAAAGTCTTTTTTTTTTTTTTTTTTAAAGAAAGGAAAAGATGGATTTCTTTGGAAGAACTTGTTGCCTTCAGGTGACATGGAATTTCTGCCATGTATAGGATTCATCTTTCCCAAAATAATAGGATGTACCTGAATTCTCCCATTTCCTTATTAGATTTCATTTGACATATTAATCCTGAGTGCAAATAGGGAGAAATGCCTTATTAATAAATTATTGAGCAATACTGAGTAAATCAGATCCTATTAATGTTTTGCACAGAAAATTATTTACCCCCAAAACCCAAAATATAGCTTCATATTAAATGACAATTCTTGAATGAAACCTCTATACCCATATTCGCCCAAACTATGGAATAAATATATTGGGTTGGCCAAAAAGTTCATTCAGGTTTTTTGTAAGATGGTGTGGAAAACCAGAATGAACTTTTTGGGCAACCCAATATTTAAGAAGTGGAAGAAGGGGGGTAGGAAATGGTACTCAGTTCTGATTTTCTTAGTTTTATAATATTAAAATGTACCCACATCTACCTTTAGATGTTAGCTAGGCACGCCCAGGTTAGGACTGATCAAAAACCCTTCCAATGACCCCTGTTTGATTATAATAGTCCTCGATTCTAAAAGATAAACCATAAAGAGGACAGTGTTACAAAACTTAAAAAAAAAGATATCTACCTCTTTTTTGAAACAGAATTTAGTGTTTATGAATTTTAGGGCTATAAGCTTATGGTTGGTTTTTTCCAAGATTCTAAACGTACTTTTGCAGCTTAATCCGATCCTGACTTAGAACATAAATTTATATTCTAAGCATCAGTTCACACCACTCTATTAGCATAATTCTAACTTTAACCACTATACATTTGAACACCTTTTAAGATCATGAATTTTAAAATAGGGAAAGAGAATGAGATTATACATTTTCTGCAATGTTTGGGAAAAAGAATGAGGCATTTTTCAAAGTAGCTTTTCCTCCTACTTTTTTCCTTAGCAGAATCTTCTGCCTTCAACATCATGAATAAAGTTCCCAGTTTGGGAACAGCTCTTATTCATTTCACTGGGGCATACTGAAGGTATCACATGTTTGCAAGAAATTTAGTTCAGCTAACATTTACCAAGGAGAGCAGCGTTGACTTCCTTCCCACTGTCCCTCCAGCTGGCTCCCTGATGCTCTGAGGTAAGCACCATCCAAGGTATTCTCAAGCTCAAATGTGAACTTCCCTGGATGCACATAGTAAATGAGTTTAAATTGGGATTAATGCTTCCTTTTGTTAACACTAGCTCAGTGTTTTGTGCTACTACCTGTCTTCTTAAATTCAATAGCTTTTTAAAAATAACTCAGCCCATTCTGTGTACATCGCCAAATGTACAAACTAAGTACAAAAGCGTCCTAATTTCATGTTACTTTAAGTGTTGTCTTTTTTTTTTTTTTTTGCGGTACGCAGGCCTCTCACTGTTGTGGCCTCTCCCGTTGCGGAGCACAGGCTCGGGACGCGCAGGCTCAGCGGCCATGGCTCACGGGCCCAACCGCTCCGCGGCATGTGGGATCCTCCCGGACCGGGGCACGAACCCGTATCCCCTGCATCGGCAGGCGGACTCTCAACCACTGCGCCACCAGGGAAGCCCGGTCATGTTACTTTAAATTAGTTTGGGGGTACTCAGTTATCTTTCAATTTGAGAAAATTGGGGCATAAATTCTAAACTATTTTTGAAAGGGTGGCTACCTAAAACTGGTCTCCAATAGCTGGCAGTAAATTTGTTTAACCACACTGTTTAAATATTAGTGTCTGCTTCACAGAAGTCAAAACTGCAACAGTCCCCAGACAAAATGCAGGAGAGAAGCACCCACCTCTGAGGGCACGTGAGTGGGCACACCAGGCCTAGTTTCCTCTGCCCTGTATTTTAATGCAAGTGCTTATATGTCAAATCGCTTTGGCAGAACACAGAACTAAGCCTGTTTTAGCAACTTGAAATTTGAATGTGCTAATAGGAGATGGAAGGACAATACTACATCGTGGGTTCAGAACTCCAAACAAGATTAAATGATGAAATCAGGGTTTGACATAAATCAAAATCTTAAGGCTCTTCCTGGTAACCACCTTAATTTTAAGGCTCAGAAGGCTTAAAATCTTTGTTTCCAGCCTTCCACATGGCCCAAATCACAAGATAGGTCCAACCACCAGCAGGATCTAAACTATATTATCCGTAGGAGCGAGCTGGCTTTCCTCACAAGAAAGGCACAAGTAGGATCGCCAATCTCTTGGGAACAGCAGCTTTAATGACCAAATGCCTTGAAGACAGAAGTGGAAATTCATTTTAGAAATCAGGATGGCAGAGAAGACAGGCAACCTAACTCTTATTCAAGCTGTTATTTCAGTTTGCTTTGATAATTTGCAAAGGATTTGCCTGCTCTGGGCAAAAGGAAAAAAAAGTCTCCATAACAGAATTGTGCTTGGGTTGTAATGGTAGGTTCTCCAGGGACACTCTTTTGGATTAATTTGGACACAATTATGAGAATGCAAATCTTACTTAGGTACAAGTCATGCTTGCTTTTATATACGTTAAGAACTTAAATACAGGGGAACCTGTTTTTCACTAATTCAATCACCGCCTTGATTCTGGTTCCACCAAGTAGGTCTCTCTCTCTTCTTCCCTCCTTTAAGAATCATCAAAAGCACCACCTACTCAGTTAAAAGCCCAAACATCTTTCTTGCTTTTGTCTTTCCTCTAATTCTATCTTAAAAACATAGTCCCTCCAACAGAGCATGCTACTTTGGCTCAACAGAATGCTGGGTTACTTGCTGCCACTCCTTAGGAAGCAGTAAAATTTCCAATTTGACTAGTCCTGGTAAGAAAGGACTCAAGAGATTACAAAGTGTTTTCGGAAAATCCACAAGTGTGGAGAAAGGATTATAAGGATGGACTCAAAACACATACTCCAGAACCAACCCCAACATTAATCTATTCAAATATCACACCTCTAATTTGTCCTTTGGCATGAGAATTAATACTGACCAACCGTGACGCCCACTGCTAGAATGGGCATACGCCGAGGAAGTCAGAAGGTGGTTCAGCAGGTACAGCTCCGTGGTCTGAAACTTGTAGTCTTTGCTTCAACTTCTACTACAGCAAACACCAAGGCCACCCTGTCCCCTATCACCAGAATGTGCTGCTGGCCATTTCCAATCCACCTCATACCATTCGGAATTGATTGTGCTGTTTCTCTATCTTTGTAAAAAGAAGTTTCACTTATTTTGTGGAGAATTACAAGTGGGAGAGAGGCATCCTGTCTTCCACCAGCACTGCGTCCATCCCAAACTGGTCAGTGCACTGCTTCACGGTGGCCAGGACACTCAGGAGCCGCTGGTCCACAGCGTCTAGGTGAGGATCAGAGAGCACTGGGGAGATGGGGTCATGGGCCATGGCAGATCTTAAGGCAGACTTCAGCACACCATTCTTCAGGGAGTTCAGTCTGTTCCAGGTAGAAACCCGAATGCTGGGAGAAAAAAAGTTTTAGAACAGGTTACATAAAACCTCTCACTATCAAATGGAGATTAAAGCCCGCATAGCAGACGAAAGTAAAGAAATAATTATGTAAAATATCTCAACTAGAAAAATAATTTCTGTTTTAGAAGTAGCTCTACATTATGAGTAAGTAACATTACCACATTTTGATATTTCTTTCTCAGTAATTAATGAGAAATATATACAATATTTACACATGTTCACTGCAGTGCTATTTGTAACAGGAAAAATGTGAAACAATCTGAATGTCCAACAACTGAGAAATAGTTAAATAAATTATGGCTTATCCATTCAAGGGAATACCATGCAGCCATTAAAAGCAGTTATGAAAATTCAGTGGCATGGGGAAATGCCCATGATATAATATTGAGTCAGGGAAAATAGGTGGAGGGAAAACACTCTATTACTCCAAACCTGTGGGGAAAGAAAATGTGTGTATAAGCATACATACAAACATACACACACGATTACAATGAAATCACTAGAGTGTTAACAGGAGTTATCCTTACCTCTTAATAAGTAATTTAATTTCCTTCTTTTTATGTTTCTTAATTAAAAATTCTAGCAATATTATAAATAGAAAAAGTTTAAGGATACCTATTTTTCTCAATTATTTTACCAACTAAAGAGGATCTCTTGTTATCTTAGAAAAAAAGTATTTACCTCCCTGTGGGTAATGTGGGAATTACTAGGTATGCATTAAAGTCTGACTCTGCATGAGGCAGGCAACTTGTTCTGCAACCATTTAAAAAGTAAGAAAGCAAGGATCTTCGGATAAAGCATGGCAGGGATGGACAAGCACAGAGTCAGCGTGGTTTTACTCTTCTGAAAAATACTACAAGTGCCTAGAGCATTAGAGTTCCCCCTGTGTGACAAAGGTATCACTCGATTGCCTCTCAGCTCCAAGTTCACTCTTCATATATGCCCTGCCATAATGGACAGAGGTCCTTTAAGCATCTCTCCTCTTAGGCTTTCTCGGTAGAGGATACTGGAAGGAGACTGCAGAAGGAAGAGGTTCTCCAGACGCTTCTGGCTGCTGTACAGTGAGTGGGTCAGTAGTGTGCGGGGAAGGTCAGCAAATGAAACTCTGCCTTGGCCACATTTCCAGAACAGGTAGGCCCACCATGATGTTGCGGCCTTGGCCTGGCTTGGTGATAACTTTCCTAAGGCCCTCTCAACATGGAAACCACAGCCCCCAAAGCCACGCACCCATGCTGGTGCCCCAATTCCCTGTGCAGGCCCACAAATAAGCCTTGCCTGTAGCCTGGAGGGTTTCTACTGAGTCGTTGCTCTCTCGGTATGTCATGCTACCACCTGCTGATTGCCTGTACCCTGCCTGCATTCTGGAGGGCTTCTTCCTGCACTCCCGGCACCTGCAAACTAGCACAGTTCTCTGCTATTCAGTGGGCTGAACTATACCTTCTCCACTGAGGTCAAAACCCCAGGCTTGGGGAGGGGGATCCCCTTCCAAGTTTGTTCTTCCTTGGGTACTCTCCCTCAGCTCTAGTTTTCTTTTATAGTCACTCTTGTATGAAAGAGTTTAATAACTCTTATACTAAACTTTCCTGTTTAACCCACCATGTCTTTTCTATATCCTGACTGGACCAGACTGATAGCACTATTAAAACAAAAACATCTTCCTTCACAGATACAGGTTTTGATTGGATGTATCACTGCTTCCCAATATTAATGAAGATAATTAAGGGTTGCCTAGGTAAACACTTTCTGCAGAATATTGCTGTTATGAAAAAAAGAAAGAAAAGAAAAGTAAAACAGACCAGTCGCCAGAAGAGGCAGTCTCACATGATCAGTGTGTCTCTGGGAGCCGAGCAGTAGGAAGCGGCTCTCCTGGACCTGCACTTTTGTGTAGCCAAGCAAGGTGGGTCCCAGCTGATTCTTAGTGTTCATGCTTTTAAATCATACTGGCAACGAAGATCTGAAAAGGAGCTCCCGAGAGCCCAGTCTTTATCTCATTTTCTTGATTTACTTTTTAATTTCTTTGTTATCTAATACAGACTTTTAAAAAATCAATTACTAAATACCTACGGAGAAAGCTACTTTTGGTTTACACAATTTCAAACTGAGATAAGCAAACCACAGGTGGGTTGTGGTGTTGAGTGAGAGGACTTGAAACCACAAGGTAAACATAGTACAGCAACTAGGGGCATGGGTTGCACTAGGTTTTGGGTGGGGGGGAGTGAGGACTATATTCTGATATTAAAACAAACATGGATATACATTATTGGATAAACTGAAAATTTCTACTCATACAAAACTCAAAATGCATTCTGAGCTTTGGGCTACACTGCTGTGGAAACCTTTCCCTGATCCCCTACAGCTCAGGATCTCCAGGAGGTTCGGGGTTAGAAAAGCATGAAAAGTGCTGCTCAGGTATTAGGAAGTTTTAAAGCCAAGCAAACTGATGTACTGTTACCTGAGCCTGGAAAGGAAGGCAATGCAGGCAAATGTACTTAACTGCATAACTTACATGCAACACTGATAGAGAGGGGCAAGAATGCTTCTCTCATCCAGCGAGGGGTTCCCAAAGCTGAAAATTAAATGAAAAGTTAGTGAATTAGGTGGAAGCACCTGTCCCCTTCTTAGCATCAAAGCAAGAACAAATTCCATATGAAACCTGAATGTGATCCCGGATAATTTCATGCTCCCACAGCTCAAATCACTTAAATTAAAAATAAACAGGGCATGACCAATTAGACACAGAATTCCTAACAGCTTGTACTGCAGCATCAAACAACAAATATACTCCTTTACAAGGATCCTTTCTCCTGCCAGGATATTGCAAGGTGTTGAAGCATAACCCTCCTAACACGGTATGGAGTCCACAGACCAAGAGAGAACCTGAAGACCCCCAAACCCGAGAAGGTTTTAAGGGTATGTAGAGCAATAAAGGCTACTGATATTAGGTTCTCGCAAACAAGCAGAAGGTCATTACCTGTAAAAAGAAGTTATACTTGTTCTACTTTAATATTACCAATCAGAAAAAGACTTAGATTACTGTATTCCCTACAAGAAAGTATATGGTCAGATTCAAACTGTAAAAACTGCTCACAGAGGCTGGGAAAACAGTGATTCAAAGCAGATGTAAAAATGCTCTTAGTAATTCCGAGTTAGAAAAGGAGAACTGATTCTGGAAAAACTGTCAACCTTCCACTCTTTTCCTGGAAGCTCACCTTAATAGCTGGAGGGTCTGGTAGCCCTCAGCACAGGGCAGGCCCACAAATAATAAAAGGCAAAGGCAATTATTTCAATGTATATTTCCACAGCACATGATCAGTTTTACAAGTAAGGATAAAGATATTCAGGAACTGAAAATATAATATAAATGAAAATGAAATACATAGCACTGGTCACTACCTGCTTTGCTGGGAATGGGAGAGGCAATGTTTGCTGGCCTCTCACTCTCTGTAGCTGTCACCCCCTTTCATGGAGTATGAGGCACCTGGTGCTCAGTATGAGGTGGTGGCCTCCTTAGCAATTGCTGCCTAAGCATTCTTCACTGAGTGTCCATATCTCAGCTTATTCTCAGCAACCAACGTTAACAATAGTGACTCATCTTCTTTATCCATTCAAAAGAACATGTGGTACATATATATAATGGAATATTACTCAGCCATAAAAAGTAATGTGGATGGATCTAGAGACTGTCATACAGAGTGAAGTAAATCAGGAAGAAAAAAACAAATATCGTACGTTAACGCATATGTGTGGAACCTAGAATAACGGTACAGATGAACAGGTTTGCAGGGCAGAAATAGAGACACAGATGTAGAGAACAAACATATGGACACCAAGTGGGGAAAGCGGTGGGGGGCGGTGGTGGTGGGATAAATTGGGAGATTGGGATTGACATATATACACCGATATGTATAAAATAGATAATTAGTAAGAATCTGCTGTATAAAAAAATAAATAAAATAAAATTCAAAAATACAAAAAAACAACCAAAAAAACCCCCCAAAAAACCCAGTAGTGACTCAGAGCCTGAACAATTCCAGCTCCAAGGAAGTATTCTATTTAGCAAACATTTATTATGTGTAACTAAAAGTGTGGCACTTAACTGGGTACCATGAAGAATGCAGAGTGCAAACTGAAAATACAATGTGCTCTTCAAATAGCTCAGGCCTAAATAAGGACATTCCATTTATTCAAAATTAATAAAATTGTTTTATTCAAGATAAAAGTAACTTGTCTTTATATACAAATACTAAGCAACTAACTGCTCTCCTATTCATAATAGAAAAAATCTGGGCCTAGACTGCCATAAAAATAGCAAAAACATCCTATCAAATAAACTAATTTTTTAAACTGTATGAATCTTTGGATAGAATAATTTAACAACAGCTACATTTCATGTTCCGTTAACGATGTATTTCTCAAGATTCTGAACAAGCTAGTCAAGAAAGAATGATGTAAGTAGCAATAAATAGAAGACCTTGGTTTCCAGTTGTCTGTGAAGAGAATCATACTCTTTGACTCTTTGGAAAAAGTGAGTTTTCCACTTTTTTAAAGTCCTCAGATCCCCGAAGGTGAAAGGAGTACAAACTCTGAACAAGCTGGAAGGATGGGTGCCAATGGCAAAGACTCCGAGTGGAAACAAGAAGGATGCCTTCTGTTGAGCCTGTTCTGGAGGTTTTCCAGGATACCCCAGAAAGCATTCTTCTTGTATACACAGGACCCCTAACTGACAAGGAGAGTCCTGCTGGTCCTACCTTTTGGCATTATCGAGAAGGATGAGCATACTAGCGCCTTCATCATCTTGAAAACTCTCGTAGTGATGGCGGTCAGCATTGCCAATCAGGTAATCAAAGACAGCTGTATCAATGATGTCCAAGAGGCGAGGGCCAGAGTCATAAGGGGACGTTTTCTTCACAGCGTCACAGTAGCTCTCATCATACTCCCACCTGGAGGGAAGCAGCATCACCAGGGTTGTTCACTGAGTGCCAGCACCACACGTAACATTGTTTAAAACACAGAGAAGAGAGAGTCCCTGACTAGCAGGTTTTCCCCTGAACCCCCCCATAGTCCTTTTTAGTCTTGGACAGAACCCTGGCTCCTACACAGGGTTGGCACCTGTCCAGGCACAGGAGAGAATGAAGTAGTGGCTCAAAGGAGCATTTACCTGGCTAATTTGCCCTCTCGGTAAGTCCTGCCCCATGGGTGTCTGTGTTTCTGTAGAGGCCACACATCTGGAAGCCAAAGCGTGACAGACCCCTCCATCGTGTCTCCATCAGCACAGGCTGGCTCTGTTTCTCGGCAATAATAACACTTCCCATAGAAACAAGTATTATTTCCTAAAGGAGAGAATGGAACCATATACACTTACAGAAAAAGGATAACTCCAAATTCTCCCCAAACAATGAAGAGAGCAGCTCTATGTGAAAACAAAGATCCTGAGCTTATTTTTAAATCTTTATTTATTTTCTGTATAGGAAATAAAAGCACATGGTGTAAAAAAAAATTCAAAAGGTACAAAAGGATATATACGAAAAAGTTAAGTCTCCCTTTCCCTCTCTGTCCCTTCTACCCAATCTCTCCCAGAAGTCAACTACTGTCACAAGTATCTTTCTGAACTCACTTTAAGTAATGTCCTCTTCTCCTTCAGCAGGACTGACATTTTGGCCAGAATGCCCAGGGGAGGGAGAGAGGGCATGTACGAGGCCAAGCCATGGACCAGGACTTTGGTTACATGCGGAGTGGGGAGTAGGGTCTAGAGCAAATGAGTAAACAGACTGAGGATAATGGGAACCAGGTTTCTCATAGATGGAGAAGGGAGTTTAACATATAAAAAGAGAGAAGGCCAGAGTAAATCCTGCAGTGTTGAATTAGAACTGGAGATATTGATTTGAATTGATGGTTTTAAAGCACAGAGATATAAAAGAAAGTACAAATGTTTGTGTGTGTATATGTATGCATATATATACATACGCATGTATATATATATACATATTTTGCCCCTTTAGAAAACCTGGAAACAATAACACTCAGGTAGTAATGAACACACTCACATATCAGTTTCTAAATATCATTTTAATACTATATTAAAAGGAACCAGGGCTCCCTGGAGAAACAGATGACCCCTAGGGCAGGGGCAGGGAAAGTACAAGATGAGCCTGGGTCATACTGCTATGCCAGCTGTAAGGAGGCACTCAGAATGACGGGGACATTCCAAATAACACAAGAGACAGTTTGTAGGGGTTCCCACTGGCCAAATCTGGGATAGTTTGAGCATCAAAATAAATAATAATAGTAACAAATTGTAACAGTAAATTAAGAGTCTACGTGTTCATAGTGATATAAATAAGTAAACAAAAGTGGGGCAGGGCGACGGGAGCTCTACTCATCAAAAGAATGGCAACCAGTAAGTCTAGAAGAAATGACAGAATTAGCAAATCACCATTTGGCAACTATCACACATTAGTAACTGATTCGGGTAAGAATTATCAATGAATTCTAAAACTGGTGGGCAAAAGTTTCATGAGGATAGAATATTTATATAGTTTTGAGTTTCTCCCTACAAAGTACTCAGTAATTATTTATTAGTAAGTATAAAATACTGGAGAAACCTTGCAGACACTCACCATCTTAATCATGCAACTGAATGCAATATCCTAGATTGAATCCTGGATGTACATAGGCCATTACATGGACAAGTGGCAAAATCTGAATAGGATCTATGAATTAGATAGCAATATTGGATCAGCGTTCAACTCTTCATTTTGATGGTTGAATGTTGTTGTGTAGGAGAGTGTGCTGGTAGTTGGGATATACTCACTGAAGTCTTAAGGGAGCATATAATGCTGTAATGGATATTCATGTCTGCAACCTGTTCTCAAATGATTCAGAAGTATTAACAATTGAGGAATCTGGGGGATTCTGGATCATTTCTGCAACTTTTATGTAAATCTAAAATTATTTCAAAATAAAAAGTTAAGGAAAGTAATGCTTTCTTTGCTCTCCACCTCTACAAAATAATAGCCATCAAATGAGCTAATTCCCTACACCCAGAAAACCTCACATGCTCCTTTAATGATTGTTTATGTTCTCATGTATATGTGTCCTTGAAGAGACAAACAGCACTCAAACTTTTTAGTATTTCCAACCTCTGGCATAGTACACACTAAATAGAAACTAATCCACTATATACCCACCCACAAAGCTGATTCTATCACTCTCCATTACTTTACAAACTTTTCTAGGTAAAGAAGATTTGAACACTAATTGAAAGATATACCACATTTATTTTTTAATTATAAAAATATAAACTTGTAAGTTTAACTTGATCCATCAGAAATACCAACGGATCTTTTAGAGGGTAACTAGGTATGACAATTTTAAAGATCATAAGAAAAAATAACTAAGAACTGCTAGAAAATTGTTAAAATAACTGCAAAGAGAGGGGACTAGACCTACCAGATATCAAAACATAGTATAATGCCTCAATAATTAAAACATTATAGGGGACTTCCCTGGTGGTCCAGTAGGTAAGACTCCACACTCCCAATGCAGGGGCCGCGGGTTCAATCCCTGGTCAGGGAAATAGATCCCACATGCATGCTGCAGCTAAGAGTCCACATGCCGCAACTGAGAGTCTGCATGCCGCCAGAAAGATCCCGAGTGCCGCAATGAAGACCCAGAGCAGCCAAAATAAATAAATAAAATAAATATTAAACAACAACAACATTATAGACCAGCTCATAAACAGATTTAATGTCCAATGGAGCAGAACAGAAAGTCCAGAAACTAAAGCTAAATAAAGAAACTAAATAAAGAAAATTTACTACAGGGAAAAACAAGAGACTCTTTAACAAATGCTATTGGGACAACTGATAGCCATCTGGGAAAAAAAAAACAACAACAGTGGAGCCATACTTCATTACATATACCAGAAGAAATTCCAACAATATCAAAACCTTAAATGCAAAAAATAAAACTATAAAGGTACTAAAAGAAAAAAAAAAAGCAGAATTCCTCCATAATGTTGGAGTGAGCAAGGCTAACTATGATTCAAAATCAGAAAATCTATCAGAAAAGATGGACTGATTACATTAAAAACAAAAAGCTTCTGTAAGGCAAACACCCCCCCAAAAAAATAACAAAACAAAAAACTATAAGCAAAGTCAAAAGAAATTAAAGAATTGGGGAAAATATTTATATCTCATATCACAAAGGGCTATTATCCTTCTTATGTATGAGCTCCTGTAAATTGATAGGACCAATGACAAAGCTAAAAATGAGCAAAGGGGACTACCTGGGTGGTGCAGTGGTTAAGAATCCACCTGCCAATGCAGGGGACACAGGTTCGAGCCCTGGTCCGGGAAGATCCCACATCCCGTGCAGCAACTAAGCCCATGAGCCACAACTACTGAGCCGGCGCTCTAGAGCCCATGCTCCATAACAAGAGAAGCCGCCGCAATGAGAAGCCTGCGCACCGCAACAAAGAGTGGTCCCCGCTCGCTGCAGCTAGAGAAAGCCCACTTGCAGCAACAAAGACCCAAAGCAGCCAAAAATAAATAAATAAATACATAAATGTATTTAAAAAAATGAGCAAAGGATATGCAAAGACAAAATACAACAAATAAACAAATAAAAAGATGCTACATGTGAAACAAACAAAACCCAAAGTTTGATAATACGTTCTTGTTGAGGCTAGCGGGGAAGAGGCATTCTCATACATCACTGCTGAGAATGTAAACTGATTAAACACCTATGTAAAAATGTATGTGCCCTTTGACCCAGCACTTGCACTTCTGGATATATTTGATCATGTATGAAATAAAATATGTACAGGGTAATTTTGGGCAACAGTGGTTGTAAAAACAAAATACTGGAACTTTTATGTCCAACAAGGGCCTGGTTAAATGAATTATGGTAGATCCATACAATGGAGCATGATGTCCTTTCGATATTTTTTAAAAATTGTGAGCTGTGGGAATGTATTACTGATTCAAAAAACAGAAAAACAAAACAAAACATTGCTTGGTGTAGGAAACCTGTTGCCTATGTGACAAAATCCAAACTTCTGAGTTTGGTAAAAAAGACTCTTTATAACCGAATGGAGTCAGGTGTACTGGCTAAAAGTGCAATCTAAGGTCAGGTTTGTGGGATCAAAATATGAACTCTAAATAGTCATTAGACTGCAAGACATTGGGCATGTAATTTCACCTATCTAAGCTCCCTCTGTAAAACGGAGATAATGTAACAGTTCTTCCCTCCTTGGGTTGTGAAGAGTGAAAGAGACAATCCCCAGTAATGCTCAGCACAGTGCCTGACACATTGTCAGAGACCAATCAATGCCAGCTATTTATTATGAATAATCTGGTTCCAATCTACCTTTCCAGACCTTATAGCCATGAACCTGAGGCTCCGAATCTTTCACTATTTCCTGAATGCGCCAAACTTTTAAAACTGGTTTTCTGATGACCTCGATCTCCATGCTCTCCTTGGATGAACTACCACCCATGATAATAAAATCTACAGCTCCAGCCCACACTTCTCGCCTAAGCTACAGATTTTAGCTCCTAAATAACTAGTCGACATTTACTCCTGGATGTTCCTGTCAAGGTGAGATTCTGCACCCAATTTCACTGTGTGTGGGTTTTCCCCCACCACCAAGCAATTCTTGGACACCAGCTGGGTGTCCTACAATTTAACTTAATTCTGACACTATCTACCCGGAGATAGCATCAGACTCCACAGGTTAAGGGCTCAGTCCCATAGGACTGCCCTCCACTTCAGATGGCAATTGCAAGTCCAGGTTGTCACCTGTGCTTCTGACCAGCTGGCTATAAATTAGAGGTCCCTATGAGCCCCTGTTTGGGTTCGATTAATTTGCTAGGGTAAAGAATATACAACAGGGAGAGGACAGTCTCTTCAATAAATGGTGTTGGGAAAACTGGGCAGTCACATGCAAAGGAACGAAACTGGACAACTATTTTATAACATATGCAAAAATTAACTCAAAATGGATTAAAGACTTGAACTTAAGACCTGACACCATAAAACTCCTAGAAAAAAACATATGCGGTGAGTTCCTCGACATTGGTCTTGGCAATTATATTTTGGATTTGACACCAAAAGCAAAGGCAACAAAAGCAAAAATAAACAAGTGGGACTACATCAAACCAAAAAGCTTCTGCAAAGCAAAGGAAACCATCAACAAAACAAGAAGACAACCTACTGAATGGGAGAAAATATTTGCAAATCATATATCTGATAAGTGGTTCATATCCAAAATACATAAAGAACTCATACAACTCAATAGCAAAAAAAAAATCCAATTAAAAAATAAGCAGAAGATCTGAATAGACATTTTTCCAAAGAAGACATACAAGTGGCCAACAGATACATGAAAAGGTGCTCAACATCACTAATCACAAGGGAAATGCAAATCAAACCACAATGAGACATCACCTCATACCTGTTAGAATGGCTATCATCAAAGAGACAAGAAATAACCAGTGTTGGTACGGCTGTGGAGAAAAGGGAACCCTTGTGCATCACTGGTGGGAACGTAAATTGGTGCAGGCACTGTGGAAAACAGTATGGAGGTTCCTCAAAAAATTAAAAATAGAACTGCCATATGATCCAGCAATTTTACTTCTAGGTATCTAACTGAAGAGAGAACAAAAACACTAATTCAAAAAGATATCTGCACCCCCATATTCACTGCAGTACTATTTACAATATCCAAGGTATGGAAACAACCTAAGTACTCATCAACGTATGAATGAATAAAGAAAAAAAATGTGGTATAGATACAATGGAATATTACTCAGCCATAAAAAAGAATAAAACCTTGTCATTTGCAATAACACTGATGGCCCTTGAGGGCATTACACTAAGTGAAATAAGTCAGAGAAAGATAAATACTGTATGATCTCACTTACAGAATCTAAAACAAAATGAAACAAAACAAACCCAAGCTCACAGATACTGAGAACAGATGGGTGGTTGCCAGAGGCTGGGGGGTCGGGGGGTGGGAGACATGGGTGAAGGGAATCAAAAGGTACAGACATCCAGTTATAAAATAAGTCATCAGGATGGTGACTATGGTAAATAATACTGTACTGCATATTTGAAAGCTGCTAAGTGAACAGATCTCAAAAGTTCTCTTCACAAGAAAAAAAAAATTCTGTACCTGTATATGGTGATGTTTGTTAACTAGACTTATTGTGGTGATCATTTCACAATATGTACAAATACTGAATCATTATGCTGTACATCTGAAACTAACATAATGTTGTACAATTATACCTCAAAAAAAAAAATTTGCTAGGGCGGCTCACAGGTCTTAGGAAACCAGTTTACTCCCTAGATTACTGGTTTATTACAAAGGATATCAATCAAGAGCCAATGAAGAGATACATAGGTCGAGGTCCTGAACAAAGACGCTTCTGTCTTTGTGGAGTTTGGGGCCTGGCATGGTGGCACATGGAAACTTTTGGTTCACCAACCTGTAGAGTTCCCCGAACCCCGTACTGTTGGAATTTTTATAGAGGCTTCCTTACGTAGGCAAGATCAATTAGTAACTCCAGCCATGATCAGTTATTTCCAGCTCCTCTCCACTCTCTGGAGAAAGGGCAAGGGTGCGGGGCTGAAAATTCCAAGCTTCTAATTATGGCTTGGTCTTTCTGGTGAAGAGCCTCCATCCAGGAGGCATCCAGGAACCAACTCAGAATCACCTCAGTAGAATAAGATATGCTCCTAGTGTTCCTACCACTTAGGAATTTACAAGGGTTTTAGGAGCTGTGTGTCAGGAACTGGGGACAGAAACCAATGTATCTATTTCTTATTATTTTACACAAGGAAACAAAATATCCAAAATTAAATTCATTATCTTCCTCTGCTCCATCTCCCTAAGTCTGCTCCTTTCTATATATTCCTAAGATAGCTAACAGCTTCATTATACACTTAGTCATCCAATCCAGAAATTTAGGAGTCATTTTTAACTTCTTCCTCTCTCTCAATTGTCTCACTCAGCCCAAATGTTCACCAAATTCCTTCCATTCCAGTTCTTGAGTATCCCCTAGATGTCCAGGTTTTAGTTTGGACTCACTGCAGGTGCATTTACTACAACAGCCCCCAAGGGCTCTCATCTCAGCTTGCCCTTCCCAATTCATCCTCCACAATGCTGCTACAATTAGTTTTCTAAAACTCAAATCTGATCTTTCCACATTCAAAGTCTTTTCCATGGCCTCCCAGTGCCTAAGGAGAAAATCTTTACTTCATTCAGCTCAACTACACAGTCTCCTGAGCTTGCCATGCTCTTCTCTCATTTCTTGTCGCTGTTGTCTCTGCTCTGTCCTCCACCTAGAACAGGGTTAACTCAGGGAGCCTGTGAACTGGATGGAAACAAAATTACATTTTTATTTTCACTAACTTCTACCTGAAACTTAGCATTTCCTTCAGTTACGATGGTAGGCAGCAAACCATAGTATTAGCGCTACCTGTGACTTTCTCAACAGAAGAAATCAATAAATTTTTCATATCATATTAGCATTGCTGCAGATACTTCAAAGTATCATTTATATTTATGGTCCGAAATTAAGGTAGTTACTAGATCACTCTAAATCTTGTTATTTAATGTGTAAATAACGAAGCACATGTTACTCTATCACAAATTAGCTTTTTGTAATTTTAGGTTAAAAAATATATACTTCAATATTATTAGTTTTGTTTATAAGTCTACGTATTTTAATTTATGTATTTAAAAACATTATTTTGAGAAAGGATCCAGAAACTTCTCTAGACTGCCAAAGGAGTCACTTGCACAAAAAAAGGTTAAGAGTCCTTTTCCAAACCTAGGGTGTTCTTTCCCACTGTATCTTCCTGCAGGATTGCTATTCTCCCTTTAAGACTTCGTTGAAACTATCACCCCAGCCCTAACTTCTAGACCCCCTCCTCTTCCCCTCCACATTTCCACAGGCCCTCTGTATATGTGTGGCTCCCCCATTAGATAAAGCTCCTTGAAGGCAGGAAGGTGTCATTCATTTTTGTATATTCAACACCTAGTTCAGAGCCTCCCACACAGAGTGAAACAAAATTTTGTTCAATAAATAAATGAATGAATATAGAAGAATATACGCAGATCAAATATTTTAGTCTCAAAATCTGGGTTTGAATCCTGGCTAACAATTAGTAGCTTTGTGAATTTGGGAACATCATTTAACTCTTTTAAACCTCTTTCTCAGGTCTGAAATGTGGATAAATCTTCCCTACTTATTGCACTCTTGTCAAGAGGATTAAATAAGGTAACTGTGTGAAAGTGCTTTGTCAAGTTGCAAGGGCTATACAAAATTTAGCTATCATTATACCAAGTTATCTAGTAATACATTTTAAAAATTGTGCTAAGGTCAGTCCATCATTTAAAACCCATCTCCAGCCAATCCCTCTACCTGCCTGCTATGGACTGAATATTCATGACCCCCCTAGAATTCACATGGTGAAGCCCCAATATGGTGGTATTTGGAGGTGGGATTTTAGGGAGGAGTCCTCATGATGGGATTAGTGCCTTTATAAGAGACATGATAGAGATGATTCCTCTTTCATTCTTTCTCTGCAATGTGAGGATGGATACAGGAAGAAGACTGATGCCTGTGAATCACAAAGAGGGCTTTCACCAGAACCCAACCATGGTGGCACCCTGATCTTGGATTTCTAGTAACCAGAACTGTGAAAAATAAATCCCTATTGTTTAAGCCACACAGTCCATGATATCTTGTTATAGCAGCCAAACTAAGACACTGCCCTATGCTGCAGAGTGTATCTAGAAGCTTTTCTCTAAATGTACCAGTGCTTTGTACTTTCAGGTCTTTGTGCCCTCATTTCCATTATACTTCCTGTTATTGTGCCCAATGCCCTTCCCTCTTTGCAGCCTGGGTAGCGTCTATGGATTCTTCAATACTCAGCCCAAGTGTTAACAACCTCCTTACAAACCTTTTTCTGGCCTCTCCCTTCCCCTGCACCTTGCACAATATAGGAGAGTTAACCTTCTCTGAGTCTCTAGACAGCAGGCCTATTCTTCCCATCCATCAGGAATGCATGTTTGCCTAAGCATAAAATTGGACAAGCAGAAGTGATTAGAAAATATATGAAACAAATCAGTGACAGTGTATGCTTTTGGTTATTTGCAAGAACAGCAGAGCCCTAGCCTGATAAGTTTAAATTCTGAATGATGAATCTGTCAAAAGTGCTTTAAATATTCAGTTTCACCTCATTATAAATGTAAATCCATTCACTCTAGCAAAGCAAGTTGAAGTTCATCTTGCAATGTCTATTTCAACAGTTATATCAACGCAGAGTACTGTGTCATTGAAAATGGCACCCTGAGGAGGCTCAGACAAGAGACCACAGCACCTCTGAATTCCTCCCATTCTCATTATGTCTGCAAGGAGAACAGGAGTGAGAATTCCAGCCCAGACCCCCTACCTCAGAGTGTGACAACGGAGAACAGAGGCCAGAGGGATGGCAGTCAATTCCACACACAAAGAGTTACATAGGCTAACCTTTGCAGAGTGGGAGGAGGCAGTGGTGATCTTCCAGGCCCAAGGGCAACCCTACAAGGGAATTTCTGACCCTCTTATAGAGTTGCCTTAAGGTTTGCTCAATTCTCAGGAGATAGGAAACAGTTCCCAAGAAAGTACAGGAGTATGAAAAAAACCACCAAGGCAATGATACACAGACAGTAACTGATTCAGACCAAATTTTGAGTTTGAGATTTAGTTTAAGATCAAGCAGAAGGAAATAAAGTTATCCCCTAATTACACTGTCGTAAATGATCTCACTTCCTACTTCAGAGACACACAAAGCATGCATTAGGGAAAACTTTCAATTTCCTGCCATCCACCTTTAGATCTATTTCCCCCAGTACTGTGAGAACAAGTTGCCTGATTTGCTTTTGTAGTCCCTTGAGTTCTTCAGTTCCTAAAAGTCATGAGCCAGCTTGCTCAATGATGCCCCATTTAATTTATTAACTATTCCCTTACCTAAACGTCCTCTATAACCTCCTTACCTACAGTTAGGAAGGTGCTCAAGAGCTGCTCCGTGGCAACAGGCTTGATCTCTGTCCGCAGATTAACAAATCTGCCAACCACCAAGGGGGCTCGGCGGAAACCCAGAATCCTGGTTTGGAAGGTTGAACAGAAGAGAAAAATCTTTGGGGATATATTTTAAACAGTAGACTTTTTTTTTTGGCTGCATTGTGCAGCTTGCGGGATATTAGTTCCCCAACCAGGGATCGAACCGGGCCCCTGGCAGTGAGAGCGCAGAGTCCTAACCACTAACCACAGGACTGCCGGGGAATTCCCTAAACAGTAGTCTTAAAAATCATGGTTAATCGTGTTAGGTGTGTAAAGGTATTGCTGATTGCTGGTAAGTATTTTTTAGAGGTACATATATTTGTGAATTTAATATCAAGATGTAAATAATTTATGTAAGACAAATCTAGCAAAATGTGAGCAATTGTTAAACCTAGGGAGTGGGTATATGGGTTCACTATACTATTCTTTCTACGTCTGTTAGAAATTTTTCATAATAAAATTTTAAAATTTAACAAAGCATTAAAAAAAATTGGGCCTAAACCCATACAGGGCTTCAAATCTTTACATAAAACATTGACAGGAAACTACACAGATTAATCTAAAAGGATAAACTCACAGGACAACTTAAATATAGATACATTTGAAGATGCTTCTAACGGTCTAAAAGTGCAACCTTATCGTTGAGCACCATCATTTTTTTTTAAAAAGAAATTTTCTGGCTAAAAAATACACACTCGCTGAAGAAAAGTTGGAGGGGCAGGATTTGGAACACACAGAAAATTTATGGGAGAAAATTAAAATCATCCATAATTCCACAACTGAGAAGTAACTACTGCCATTTCGGCATAAGACCAGTTTTTCCTTCACATGTATATATAAACACATACTCACTCTTGTGTGTATATACACAATTGAGATTATGCTATATGCACTTCTGTCTCCTGCTTTTCACTCATCATTGTATCATGAGCCTTTTCTCATGTTATTAGAAAAGCCTTTAAAAATGTCTGTGCACATGGGGCATATGTATATGTACAACTGATTCACTTTGTTATAAAGCAGAAACTAACACACCATTGTAAAGCAATTATACTCCAATAAAGATGTTAAAAAAAAATTGGCTGTGCAATAAATAATCCATTGTTCAGGGCTGCTGACTGACTCTGTCCTAAACTCATTTTTAGAAAAGCCACAAAAGCAAGGAGATCAATAGATGTCAAAATAACATAAAAAATGAGAGAACATCCTGAAGCCAGAGGAGGTGGTTAAATCCTAATGTAATGGAGAAATAGCAACCCAGAGCAGAAAAGTATAAGGTGGGAAAGAAAGTGGGGAAGTATTTTTTTCTCCCCATTGACTGTTGTCAGACCTTCAAAGAACAGCAGCCACTTAGTGCTGGGAAGCCGTGTCCAGTGGCACCTGAGCTTGGATGGGGCAGTTAACAAAAGGGGTAGGGGGACTGGCCACAGAATATCTTTCAGACTTTGAGGGAGGGAAGGGCTTTAAAATACAAGACCCCCAAAGCGCAGGTGATAAATTGAAACGTTATAGGGACTTCCCTGGCAGTCCAGTGGTTAATACTCGGTGCTTCCACTGCAAGGGGCACAGGCCAGATCCCTGGTCAGGGAACTAGGATCCCGCATGCTGTGTGGTGAGGCCACAAAAATAAATAAATAAATAGAAACATGATTATATTTAATTAACATCAAAAGTAATTTCCATACAAAGACCACTTCACTCTAAGCTAACAAACAGGTGTTGTGCTGTGAAAAGGAGGTACTAATCTCTACCCATAATTGGGGGAGTATAAAATAACAATGAGATACCACTTTACGTATATTAGATTAACTAAAATTAGTATGTTGGATAATATAAAATATTGGTATGGATATGGGAAAAATATCTTCATGAACTGCTGGTGTCCATCAACAGAGAAACAGGAAGGGGTTTAGGGATGAAGAAAATAAGGAAACAAACGAGGTCTTGGAAAGACTGATTCTAATGTGCAATTAAGTGATGAGTAGGATTTATCCAACTCTTTCCCACTAGGCCTTAGAAGAGGCAGTGAAAATTCATGGTTGTGAACAAACATTTATTTAATTCTTCCCTTTCATTAGATGTTTAGATTGCTTCCATATTTTCACTACTGAAAATGCTACTAGCTAAGATCTTGGTGTATGTATCTTTGAATTTCTGATTCTCTAGGGTACTTCCTAGAAATATCTGGGATGCTTGCATAAAAAGGTAGTTACTCATTCAAAGGGTATGAACATTAAGGTTTTTGATACATAATACAGGAGTTCTTAAAAGAATGACTGAACCAATTAACAATGACACAAGCAGTATACGAATGTCAATGTATTCCTGCCAATAAAGTATTATCCTTTTTCTAATCTTTGCCATTTTCAGTAGGAGAAAATAGTATCCCATTGTTTCAACTGGATTTTTTTTTTTTTTTTTTTTTTTTTTTGGCCTCGCTGCACGGCTTGTGGGATCTTAGTTCCCTGACCAGGGATTGAACCCTGGCCCACAGCAGTGAAAGTGCAGAGTCCTAACCACTGGACCACAAGGGAATTCCCTGGATTTTATTTTATTACTGGTGAAGATGAACTCCCTCTGTCATATTTATTAGCAATCAATAATTTCTATTCAACCGTGTTCTTAGACCATTTTCTACTAGCGTTTTAGAGAATGTATAAGATTTTCTAAACATTTATATATTAAGGCTATTAATGCTTAGATTATATTAGATTCAAGTATTTTCCTCCTAAGTTTGTTTGCTTTTAAATTTTGTTTGATGTTCCTTGACATATGAGTTAACTTTTTTAAATTTAGTTGAATCTATTGAGTTTTTCTTTGTGATTTTTAAATTATTGCTTTTATGCTTAGAAAATCCTTCCTAATCCAGAAAAAAGACAAAAATTCACCTTTATTTTCTTCTGGTTTCCTTATAGATTCATTTAAAAAATATTGTCAATAATTTCTTTTAAAGTCTACCAATATGCCCTGATTAAAGAGCTGATCAGAGGAGCAACTGGGATACTAGACAATTCAGTTACAAGGATCCTGACTAGTAACTTGCTAAAAAAGTATTAATTTTCCTAGTTAACTTATACATTTAGAATTCACATCTATTTTCCTCTTAGAATTATCCTGGTTATTGAAGCTGTGCATATTTTGTATGAAGGACAATAAAATTCACATATATGTCATGCTATATGTTTCTAGCATATGAGGATAAGTGAGTATTATTTAAAACAAAACAAAAATCAGGACTGCCAGGCCCAATTAATGACCAGTTCAATTTAGGGACTTGAATTCAAACTCTGATTTTCTTCCTGCCATTTTATTTACCAAGAACATCTTCACTCATGCTAATGAGAGACGGCATAACAGAATGAAATGACCTAAAAAAGCCTGGAGTTAAGACATTTACTTTGGTATTCCTAGTACCACCTAAATAATGAGGAACTCATACAAATTTAATGGAATTAATCAGTTATCTAAAGTAGGTAACAAGTTAAAGTTATTAGATTTCGTTATTACATTCCTTTGAAAGGCGTCCACAAGTCCTCTCCAAGATATTTCTAAAAGGAAACAAAACGAATGTAACCCACTGAGATTACACATACCTGTCCAAATGAAAGGCTGCTACCTCTGCATTGTGTCTATCATAACCAGCATAAGGTTCCCCTTCTACCACATAGTCTCGGTTATACCTGCAGAGTGAATGGGAAGCACAGATGTAGACATGAATTACATCAGTACCAGAGGCGACAGCACAAGAGGCAGAATAGAAATTTGCAAGCCTGATTTTGCTCTAGAAAACTTCTCTGTCAATCCTGAGAACAGTCATGGATCAGCATAGATCACTGGTTGATGTAGTGAAGATGAAGTGGAGAAGAAAACTAGAATTATACATCTACCTCTGCTATCATTCTATGAATAAAACACAGATGTTATTTTTGCCCCTCTAAAAGACTTTCAATGTAGCTTAAGTAAAACTATAAGGTACTTTTCTGGAAGGTGAGGACCATCTTTGTATCTTCAGCACAGTGTTAAGCCTATAGTTCATGCTTAATAAATGTCTACTGAAATGTTTATTAGACTAAGCTGAAGTAAAAGGAAAATATGGCAACGCTTACCAGAATGGCTATGGCAAGGCTTATTAGAGAAGTTTAAATTTCATGGGGAAAAAAATGGTCCGGATATGCCTCTGTTTTTGTTAACAAGGAGGCAAAGGTACATTTGCCTTCCCTGTTAATGGGAAGAACTAGACACAATTCACCTATGACCTCTACTGTTCACTTGCATTTCCTCAATCAAAAGGAGACCTATCAGGCTTTACAAGACAGAAATAAGTTGGGAATGACGTGAAGAGGAGGCACTCCACTAAGGACACTTGGATCTCCAATGCTGAAAAGGCCATGGGGAATTTGGAAATGGTACTGTACAAGGCAGTGACCTTCAACATAAATGACCACAGAGTACAAAGTAAAACCATGTCCACCAAACACATTTTCAAATCAAAGTGATGAAACATTTATGTTAGAAGACAGACACGCAAAAACACCTGGTTGGACACCAGTTTCTTCCTAGCATGGTCAATATACTCAAACGTATTTTTTTGTTTCTAGTGTCAAAGCATCATTTAGGCTGCCAAGGATTACACCTGTTACCTCCAAATTAAAAGTCTCAGTTTTTAAACAGGACTGCAGCAAAAGCTGACACTATTCAAGCACTTCTCTCTCCACTACAGCTGCAGGCTGTCCATAAAGCTGGGCGACAGTCCTTGAATACCTTATTTCTCAGGACTCCAGAGGAGCCACAGGAAGATTTGTGGTGCTGTGAGGTCCACTCCTTTCAGTGAAACATTAGAGAACTTTCCAGTACATAGAAAGGCTGCTTGGAGTGAAATGTAAAACCCTAGAAAAATCCAGGAACTTTGGGAGTAGGCTGGAGAAACAGGGAGGGAAGGAAAAGGGAAAGGAAGAAAAATCAAAATGAAAGAACTGCATTGGAGTCCGAAGGTCTGAATCCTTAGTTCATGCTTTGGTTATGAGAAATAAGGAAAGTCAGAACCCTGGATTTCATTTTCCCCAGCTGTAAAATGAATAGTTGGACTAGTTGATCTCCAAGGTCCCTTTCAGCACTTCCTAAGATCAGTCACTGACTTCTACCCACCCCCAGGCCCTTGCCGTCTCGTTCCTTTCCCACCATAACTGCAGTTTTTGCCTGTGAAAAGCAATTTAGTTCCAGAAAGGATACAGCTATTGGGTTGGCCAAAAGGTTCGTTCAGTTAGTGAACACGTTGTTCAATAAAGATCTTCATGAAAGTGAAAAATGTCTTTTTTTACTTAAAGCCCCATTAACGTTTTGGCCAACCAAATATACTGAAAAAAATCACTTTTATAATAATGTAGTAAGGAAAAATGTGCAAATAAAGGCATCACTGTATTCCTATATATTTCATGTACTATACAAATCTTCCATCTCTGGCAGGAGGACATGGACAACCAGGCTCCAGAAATGCTGAACCACAAATGGCTGTTAAAGAAAGGTGCACGTCTCGACTTAGCAGAAAGGTCTTAGATCCTCCTCTCAACAAAGCAATCGATCTTAAGTCACTGACAGAGCAGCAAAATTCATACAGTAACTGCCAATAAATCACTCTATCCTTCTGGTGAAGGACATCAGAATGTGACCAAGAACATTAATTTGCACTTACACTAGGACTAAATAGCCTCAGAGGCCCGCAGGGTCAGAATAGCAATTTGCTGGGTGTTTGGGGGCTGGAGTCAATTTCTACAAGCACTTAAATGTGCACCCACTTTCCCCACCCCGGGAGAGTGCCAGGTGTAATCAGCCCAGGTCAGTGTGTGCAGTGACTAGAGCGCTATCACCTACTGCAGGTGCCCGACAGCTTGCGGGAGGTGGGGCAGGAGCATCTCTGGAGCTGGGCATAGAGAAGGGCTCTTCAGAAGGTGATGGGGGAGGAAGGGGCTGCACTGACAAGAATAAAGAGCTGGGTGTAGAGAGGAGGACCAGGCTGTGAGGGGCTGGCCACTAGGCTGTGCAGGCTGGGTTTTGTCTGGTGAGCAATGGGAATCCCTGGACGTTTTAAAGTTGGGGAGCACAGTAATTATATGGGTATTTGGGAGAAGAATGAAAGTGGATTTCAGGATGGTCTGGAAGAGGAAAGTAATGGGAAGGCTTCAGTGGTAGTAAGAGATATGAGATAAAGCAACAGTGACTAAGGTTAGCTTATGCATTTATTTGCTGCCACGTCCACTAGTCACCAGTCTGGCCTCTTCCTCCCTCCAGTTATGCTTTGTCTGAATACCCCAGTCCTAACTGCAAAGCACCTGGACTAATACTAATGTTGCACACCATCAGTAATATCTGCCTTCTAACACTTCCTGCTGTCCCATCTCACCTTCAATTCTTAGTGTACAAATAGTGGGTGTGGAGAGGGTATCCTTTTATTTAAGCACAAAATGCCTGCAACTCATCTCTTTTTACATGAATTTAATTTCTGTTTTTAGTCTGTCTTCTTTCCATCACTCTGCTTATGCTGCGATCTCTCAGGCTACAAATCAAGAGGTCAAAGATCATATTTCAAAAGGAAAGTAGCAAATTTTTGATGATGGGTGATCCATGTCATCTCTCTTACAGGAAAGCAAACAAATTTAAGAGAATCACACGTGTGTGGCAGAACACAAGCTCACACTCTGACATCTCCATTAGTTACTGCAGGGTGATCTTGTCAAGTTATTCTTTCTCAAGTTATTCTTTCTAAGTCTCAGTTTCTTACTCTGGAAATAAGAACTGTAACTGCCCACAGTTGTGACAAAGGTTAAAAGCATTAACAGATACGAAAGTACTTAGTGTAATGCCTGGCAAATGGTGTGCATGCAACAGAAATTAGATCCAAGTCCCACATAACTATGCTTTTTTCTCATTACCTGCCAATCAGACTTTCTGTTCTCCAAAAGTCTACTGCATTTTAAAACTTTCCTAATTTCCACATCTTCCACACACCATACTGCCCAGTTCCAGGCAAATGCAGATCCCTTCCATTTCTGGAATTCCAATAATATTAGCTCTCTGCTTGCCTATTATCTACTGATATTTGAGCCATGAAGGGAGCTAAGCCAACTACTCTGGTCACAGTTGGTTTTTGCACCCCTTCACCCCATATTTCTTCTCCCACTCCAGCAAGAGACCCAAAGTTATGTGTTACAATTTTCTCAAAAGCTCTACTGAGGAATGAAAAAAATGTTTAGTACACAGAAAATTTTCGACATTACAAATTTTGAGAAAATCCACTAGTAACTAATACCTGTCAAAAGAATATAAATCACCATCATGTTAACCTATTTCAAATTCATATACAAACAGAAAACTTTAAAAAAAACTAATTATACTATAGAATGGCCACACGAATTATCTCTGTAGATCCTTAAAAAAGCCCAAAGGGATCACTGTCTAACAACATATGATCTAGCCCTCTCTAGTTCAAATTTGGACTGAGGCAACTAAAATGGCCCAGTTCTCTGCTTAAAACAGGTAAAAGAAACAACAATGAGATATCACTACACACATATTAGAATGACCAAAATCCAAAACACTGACAACACCAAATGCTGTTGAGGATGTGGAATAACAAGAACTCTCATTCGCTGCTGATGGGAATGTAAAACGGTACAGCTGCTTTAGAAAACAGACTGGCAGTTTCCTACAAAATGAAACATACTCTTACCATATGATCCAGCAATTGTGCTCCTTGGTATTTACCCAAATGAACTAAGAACTTACATCTACACAAATCCTGCACATCAATGTTTATAGCAGCTTTATTCATAACTGCCAAAACTTGAGTAGGTGAATGGATAAACAAACTGTGGTACAGCTATACAATGGAATATTATTTAGAAAAAAAGAAAAAGAAAAAAAAAAGCTATCAAGCCACAAAAAGACATGGAGGAACCTTAAGACACAGAGAGAAGCCAACCTGAAAAGCTTACAAAAGGTATGATTCCAACTATATGGCATTCTGGAAAAGGCAAAACCATGGAGACAGTAAAAAGATTAGGGGTTGCCAGGGGTTCAGGGGGAGGAAGGGAAGGATGAATAGATAGAACACAGGGGACGCTGAGGACAGGGAAGCTATTCTGTATGATACTGTAATGGTGAATACTTATTATGAGTTTATTGAAACTATCACAGAATGTACAGCACAAAGAGTGAACTTAATGTAAATTATGGACTTCAGTTAATAAATTAATATTGGCTCATCAACTGTAACAAATGTACTAATTTGATGGAAGATGTTAATAATTGGAGAGACTGGGGAAGAGAGGGGAGGGGATATATAGGAACTTTCTGTACTCTCCCCTTGATTTTTCTGTAAACCTAAAATTGCTTAAAAAATAAAATAAAGCCTATTAATTAAAACAAAACCAAAGCTCAAGTGAAAGAATCACAGCTTTAGTGCTAAAAAGGACTTAAGTCACCCATCCAAAACCTACTCCAACTCTGGGGAACTCCTACTCCACAGCATCCCTGACATGTGGTTGCCCAGTCTTTAATTGTACACTTATGGTGACAAGTTGCTTATTTCCTAACCAATTCATTTTGTATCTCTAACATCTGGCACATAGTAGATACTTGACAAATTTCAGAATCAAGGATAGCTCTAACTGTAAAATGTGCAGTCTAATATTGAACCAAAACATATTCCTATAAATTTCCCTTACTCAAAGAATCATGGAACATTAAGAGCTAGAAGAGACTTCAGAGATCTTCTAGTCTCTCCTTCCCATTTTACTGAAGAGAATACCAAGAGAGGGAGATGAGCACTCATATAAATCCCAAGTTACAACTAAACAGCACAGATAACTTCAAGATGAAGACTTACCGCTTAGGTTTGAAGACAACTTTCTGTCCTCCTTCAAGTATCAGTAAGGCTTTCAGTTGTGTCCCTTTATAACCTACATCAGCTTTAATGATTTTCTTGGTGGCCATGGCATGCATGATTGCCCCCAGCTCTGGTGTCTCTTCAGGGTACACTTCCCGGGGAACCACCCACTGGGCTGCAATCTCCCAGGGAGACTGCAAGGTGTGGTCCAGCTTGGACACCAGCTCTACCCGCAAGCCAGCCATCATTCGGTGAAAGGCCCTCTGGTCCTCCCGGTTGGCAGCTGATGTATCTAAGTTGTCAATCAGGAAAACTTTGGTGAAGATAAAGATGACAAGGAGAATTGCTAACAGCACGACTCGCTGCTTTAGCTTCATGGTGACCTCTTTTCCTTCTCCCCTGACTACTCTCTCTCACTTATCAAGGAGAGCAGGTGGTGATTGTCAGCAAGGAGATTCCATGATTATACACACTGGTCCATTTCTTCACTGAGGTGCCTCCCACAATTCCTGCAAGCCCAAGTATAAAGCACAATTCAATCAGAATTCTGTCCTTCCATCCCTGAATCTTTTGCAAGCCTCAAATATATTACTCACCATTTTAGCCTTGCTAATCCTATGCCCGAGAAGACCCAATAATTTAAAATGAACTGGTCCAAGGAAGGACCTAATAGTTAAGAACCGGGTACATTGAAAATTTAAAAGCAAATACTACCGTTTTAATAGGGTGCAGAGCCATCTAGGAGCCATTTGGATGGCTACCAATTCCTAGAAACCAAAACAATAGGAAAAAGCACAAAAAAGTAAAACATTGAGATATGCATAACTCCTTAACTTTCATTTTTACCTTTCAAAATCCATAAAGGACTTTTGAATATCCAAAACCACCAGTATTTGGTAACTTTTCAGTTATCTCCTCCAAATATAAGTTTTATGACACGTTATAACATAGGAACTCCTAAAAATGCCAAAGAGGGTACAGAGGAGAGTAATAACTCCCTCTCCAAATTCAAATACCTAGCAATCCTGGACATGTCATATCTGCTATTCATGTATTTAAATACAACAAACACCCAGATATATATCTCTACTTAATCAGTCTTCTACTAATTATTTTTCAAAACTAAAAACCCTGTAAAATATGGATAATCAAATCTGGATAAATTAAGTAAAGGAAAAACATATCGCTATACCATCTGGCTATTAGTAGAACATGACCAGAAAACTAATGAAACCTGGTACTAGAGCAACACCATGAAATCTGGACTGGTCAGGCACATAACAAAGATACTGATGCCACAGACATAAAGAAGTGCTGCTTCCAGTGTGGGGCACAACACCCTCTGGTCAATTCTGAAGCTAAAAGATTCCAAATACAAGATTTTTGCAAGGGTGTCAAGAACATACAATTCAGCCTCATTTGCATGCTGACAGGTTGCTTTCCACTCCACAGGGCCATTTAAAAACATGCACAAGCTCACTTTGCTACATGCCTACAGGCAGCATGCACTGGGCTAAGACAAAGATGACAAGAAGATAACAGGGTGTTGCTTCACTCTCCAATTCATTTAACAACTCAAACCATTAATTGAAGAAATAAAACCAATACAAAAGATAGGACAAACGATTCAGGCTGAGACACTCCCACCCAAACTGGAGACTGCTCCCCTAATATCAGCTGGAAACACATCCAAAAACAGTCTACTAGAGCAACAGTGTGTTCTAAGGGCAGCACCTTGCTCAGAGCTTGCTGACATGCAGTTTATTCGTGGTGATTAACCTCTCTTCCCATTCATTTTCATAAAGATGGGAAAGCCAGAGTCACATTCAAATTCTAATTATCTCCAGCCACCTGATTTGTTGCATCATCATCTCCCAGGGAGTACATAACGCTATTAGCTGAAACACAGACAACTCAAGTACATCCAAAATGTAATTGTGATGGTATCAAGTTTGGTGTGAAACTCAGTAAAACAATTCCCTGTGATTACTGATAACAGCAATGCTAGTAGAGCAGATTTCAGAGATTTTTGCTAGTTCCAACATGACCTAAACCACACAACTTCTTCAATTATTTGTTCAGCAGTACACATCTCTGGCTGCAGTGGTAAAAGGTAGCATGGAAATCTCCCTGGGTCAGCAATCATTTCCTCAGCACCTCCAGCTGCAACTACCTCCTGCTGAGGTACAATTCTGGCACAAAGGGGTCAGATGAACAGCCTTTCACTTCCTATAAAACCCTCCTCGGGACTAAAGTCTGGTTAACTCGGGAACTTCTAATGATGCTGCTCATTTCATTTAGAATGAAGAAATTCCTCCCTTATGCTATATAAACAAATTATATCTAAACATTTAGCACAAAGGTTAGGGAGAGTGAGGGCTTTTTGTTTTTTCTTTAAATCACCAATGCAATAGGAAGTTCTAGTAGCTCCAAAATTCAAACAAAACAAAGTGAGTCTGTATGCTTTTCAATTTTGAAACCTCATTACCTTCTGATGGGCCTCAGAAGAGCACATTCATCAGTTCAGGGCTGCAGATAATTCATCCACTCAACTAGGACAGAAATTTCTATTAAGTGAACTGAAGAGTTCAACTGTTACCTCACTTCACTATTTACTTCTGCAGATTAGTAGTGAGGGCAGGTTTAACGAAGGGGCTGAACAAGTTTTCTTGTTTGTGATTAGTCACCACATCCTGGTAGAACAAGAAAGATTGCAATTTGACACTGTTCTCTACAACTGCCCGTCATGCCCACAGCCATCAACTTCATTTAGTGCTCAGCACCTTCTACTGGATCCCTGAAAGAACTGCCTCTGGGCCTCCAGGTTCTCCAATCCAGACTAGATAATGCAGCAAAATCATATTTCTAATCACACACCATTTTCGAGTTCTATAAATCCCTTAGCAAGGCATTAAAGCCCTACCCTAAATGACTTCGGCCAATCTACATTGCTAGGCATCACTCTCATTCTCTTCACTCATCACTTGTCAGCTTCCACCACAAACATGGTCCCCTAAGTCACTCCTCACTGGAACTCTCTCAAAATTCCTCTAGCTCTTATCTTTTCTTCCCATCTTCTGCTTAAAGCCTAATTAAGCTTTCAAAGGCCATCTCCAAAGCCATTTCTGGTCTCTCCTCACACTATAGTAACTAACCTCTCTCACCTTTAGACCAGTACTTAACTACATTCTGCCTTATCCAGTGTCTTCTTGTATGTCGTTCTCAATCCCCCTCTCAGAATCCTGGCTCCTTAGTGGTCTTAACTACCTTTGCACTCCCTGCAGTACGTAGCATAGTAAGGGTACCTGCATTATTCACCTAAACTGAACAAACTACTGCAAATGAGGCTATGCAAGTATCTTAGGACTCTGCTGTTATTTTCCTCGGTATTCGGTATCAAATGAGTGTGTATTAACTGGCACCTTAATGTTGGCTGTCCTTAATTAGCTCTCCTGTTTTTGGGAATCTACTTCTCTACCAACACTCTACTCAATTTAGTTGGTGGTTTCAGAGTACAGTCTCTTTTTCTAAGTACTGACAGTTCAGAAAGAGGTTTTCCTTTAGCTGGAAAGCTGCTACTCCTTCAGCCTACAGGGCAAGCACAATGATCTTCAAGAAATCGACAATGTAGAGGTTTTAGCAGAATTTTTACGAAAAGTCTATGAGTTTGCAAGACTCCTATTCCAGAAAAATGTATTAGATGCACGATACAGAATAATTCCATCCTCTAATAATGGCAGACTCTTTTACTCTTTACAATTGATCCCCTTCTCTCCTGTATGCTTGAGAGGGGAGGGTACCCAAGACAGTTTCCATGCTGTATTATCTTCTTTTCTTACTTGAGATAACAGCATACTATGCACGCTCTGCAAACTGGGTTTCTAAGAGGATCCCCCCTTTCAGATACTAAGAAAATGAAAGCAAGATCACTGGGTATATCCCAAGTTATTCATGAAAACTTCTCTTGCATTCCCAGGAGGCTGCCTGCTATATTTCATGCCCTCACCTCCTGTATAAATGCCTCCAACAGTGTAACATTGTCCAGTTATATTATGGTCATTTATTTTAATGTTTCGGTTATGTGAAACAGAGCCTACCTCAAAGAACAGTCTCAAGGTAACAACATAACTCAAAAAATGTTAAATATAAAAAGGCAAGTGTGTAAGTCTTCACACTAAAAGCTGGTATAAATTCCAAGACTGGAGTTCTGGAAGGTAGAAGCTTATTAAGGAATTTTCGTACTGAACCCTGGTTCCACTCTCAGCTCCATCAGTGAAATGAGGCTTGATATGGAAGCTAACATTTCATTCCTGTCTCTCTCTCTCTCTCTCACACACACACACACTATCCTACACATTTGATAAGCGTTTCATAAGGATAAACTTATGACTAAAAATTGTTTTGGGAGAAATAGGTTCACATAGAAAAAGAAGTCTTAGATAAAGACTAGAATCCTCTGTTCAAGAATCTGGCTGATGTCTGGAGGAACACATACAGAAATACACATCAGTGCAGAGATCCGTTAGTCATCAGCTGATAAAATTCAATATATGTGGCTGCTGAGGAACATGCAAAGACCGCACCCCAACACTTACTATAATACCAAGGGCTCCCACAAGCCACCAGTGAGGTTCCAAGTCTTATCAGTAGCAGTGCCACGTTGAATCGCCCTCTGATCAAGTGACAACCTCACGCTACTTCTCCGAAGGTCACGGAGAAGAAATCCCAACTTCTGCTCATAGCAACTAAAGTGAAGCCTTCAGTAATACTCTTTTTTTGTGCTTCCAATTCAGTGGTCAAATCAAGTTCTTACCACATGAAGGGAATGTAACGTGCTTTGTGAATGTCAAATACCGGAAGAAAACATTCTGTATGAACATTTCATGCAGAGGGCTATTAACAAAGGAGATAGTGAAGGGGGTAGGATTTATTATATAACTAGTAAAATATCTTATCATGTTTACTCACACAATCTCCTCACCCTTGATCCTGAGTAGAAATTACAAGGACACTTTTACAAACTTCTTCTTTGGTCACTGTTGGTCTCAGCAAACCTCTGAAGGTTTGGTTAGTATAAAAGGTAAGACCTGAATTTAATTAAGAGTTTTTGGTTGACTGTCTACAAAGACAGACACCAACAATTCCTCCCATCAGGAGGTGGAATCTATTTTTCCTTCCCCTGAATCTGGGCTAGCTTTGTAACTTGCTTTGATCAACAGAATGCTGTGGAAGTGGCTGTGTGCTAGGTGTCTTAAAAGACCTAGCAGCTTCCATTTGGGGCCAAGCTACTATGTAAAGCAGCTCAGGCTAGACTACTGAATGATGGGAGACCTGGCCAGCCCCTAGTTATTCCGGCCACTCCAGCTAAGTGCCAGACACAGAAGTGAAGCCATTAAGGGCATTCCAGTTCCAACTGAGGCCCCAGCTAAATACAGCCACCCATCTGACTCCAGCCTATATCATTTGGGCAGAAGAACCAGTCAGCTGGGCACAGGTGATCTATACAGTCATGAGAAACAACAAATCATTTAGTCTTAAGCCACTACATTTGGGGGTAATTTGTAAAAACCCAGCATTCTCACATCTATTCTGTCCATATCAACTATTTGGGAGACATTAAATTAACCATTAATACAAATAAAGATTGGATTAATAAATAATTAAGGTCTCTTAAAGGTAACACAAGAAAAAAACAGAATCTCAAATGGATCATTTACTAAAGTCCCTTTACATACTTTAGAGCAATCAAGGCTAACCTTACACACTCACAGACTCACACAACTATACACACCCAGTTTATAAAGCCTAACCTTTAAACTTCAGCCAAAATTACAACCCTTTAGTACAACAACAAAAATTAAAAACACACATACTTTCACCTTGGGGTAAGTCTGATATACTGCCCTTTTGTTAATTGGTGGTGACATTAGAGCACTGTGCTACATTCTTACTAGCTGCCCCCTAGAAATAAATGCAGTCTCTCCTGATGGTTAATGACAATTATTGTAAGTAAAATAAAGAGCATTCAGAAATCTCTCCACTTATCATTGTGTGTTTCTAGCTAGGAAGTCAAAACCTCTAATACCAAATGGCATCCAGTTTTTATTACATGAATAAATCCCTATTATCCTCAGAAAACCAGCCTACTCCTGCACTGCCACCACTGCCCACAACAGCATAATACTGTTCTTTTTCACGTTCAATTGGGAGTCTTCAACTAAGACAAAATCTAACAACAAGTAATATCATTAATCAGTATCTACATAGTTTTCCTTTCCCTGCTAATTCTCCACTTAAGAAACAGCTTAATTCACCTTCTTTCTAAATATAAACTCTTCTGTAGCAGAGGGGTTAAGAATATGTGCTCTGGATTCAGAATGCCTGGGTCTGAATGCCTGCTAACCTCTCTGGGCCTCAGTTTCCTCATATGGAAAATGAAATAAGAACACTATTACCTGACTCACAGAATTGTTAAAAATGAATGTCATTACCACGCGTACTGTGCTAAAATTAGTGCTTGGACAACATATAGTAATTCTTGTTGGTCATTATTACCGTATCAAAAACCCAAAGATGACTTCCTGAGGAGAAAGAATGACAAAGAAAATAACCCTCATTGGTTATGTTGTCTTTTGGGTTACACAGTCAGGGGCTGGATACCTATGTTGCATTACCAAGAGTTCTAGTAATCTTATATTCCTGAACTAAATCCTTTCCTAAATTTGAGGAGTAGCTAAGGCTGGAAGCAAGTAGGTTTCTTCAGAGTGGGTACCAAGTGAAAAAGAAGACTGGGAGGTTATGTCACTAATTTGACCAACCTGTTTCTCTTCTCTACAAAGTTCAATTCTACCACATTCAATGTAAGTGAAACAGATGGGGAGCATGAACTTTTTCTATTTCACAAAAACAGCTGAATAGAATGCCCTTCACAATATTCTTCAGTTTGGAAAATTAAATCTGTGTTTTAAAGATGACAGCTTTGCAGGTCCTAAAGCTTTTAAGATAAGCTCTGAAGTAACCTAAGTTACAGGTACAGAAAATCAAATCTCCATATAGTCTGAATTGGTTCAAGTGTTATATATTTCTCACAGTTTTCACTTCCACTTAAATATTTATTCACATATGTAAACTTTTTTTTTTCGGTAAATCCTCTAACAGTTCCCTGTGAAGGAAGGAAAGAAAATGATCACCAGGCATTAATGAAGCATAAAGTAGCCTTTCTTCCTGGTGTGAGAGTAAAACTGAAACAGGCTATGGAGTATTTGTTCCCTCTTTGAAAAAAATTCAATTCCTGCAACCTGTCCCATTTAAACCTTGATTTAGGGCAACCCTCTAATGCTCTTCCTTGAAAAATGAAAAGAAAAAACCTTCAGCTCATACTGCTAGTGAGATTTGTTCTAAAAAACCAACACATGCAGTGTTCACCGATCTAGAAACTCTAAGGAAATGCCTAAGAATTTGCATTCTGTTTCAAATGGGCCAGGTATAATGAACTTTCCTAAGTTCCAGGTATTTCACTGCTCAATTATCGGTATCTAACAACCATTTAAGGCTATATAGAATATAATTACTATATAGCATAAAAATATGGAATTTCAAATCATATAACATTTACTTCAGATTTTCATGTTTTCCATCTTTATTGTTCAGTTCACTACAGTTCTTGAAAAGGTATGTAAGCTTTATTCAACAGTGACACCTCACACTTTTAACTTTATGTTCTAGGGTCTGTCAAGCTGACAGGCCACAGATCACTTTAGAAATAGGAACCCCAAGCAGGTCTGTGCTGAGTTATGGCTGAGTGGCTCCAGGCACGATCCCTTGTTATATATGAATATAAATGCACACACACACATACATACACACATATATTTTTTGGCATGCCTGTCTCCTCTACCCTATTGTAAGTTCCTCAAGGACAGGGGATATATTTTACTCTCTTTGTAGTTCCAAGTAACCTAGCACAGTGCAGGGCACATGAGAGGTACTGGATAAAATGCTTATTGAATAAAAGGAGTGAAGAGCACGGGAGAGGGACCTTTACGGTTATAAGAATTTCTTCAACTCTTTGGTTTAAAGATGGCCTCTTTTTATTTTTAACAGACATAAGGAAACTAAGTCACATAATGAATTCAGATATACAGTACAGTAAGAATGCTGAAATGTCAAATATGTATACCAACTTTATATACTCAATTTTAAATTGCTGCCTTCTGTATACCCTGCTTCCATCTTTCAAGGCAACTGCTATTGCCAAGCTGGTGTCTGGTGTTGGTTGGGACTGGGAGTAAAGATGATCTGGAAATGCTAAGAGGAAGATTGGAGATGGTCCAACATTGCCCAAGAATGATACAAGACAGGGCTGGAACCAAATTTTCAAGTGTTATTGGCAATGCTTTCTGAAACGAGAACCAAACACTGGTATTTCCGTATCATTTTCTTTTTTCTACAGAAGGAACTACAGGGACATAAATGCACCTATACAGAGGGCAAATTCACTATCTAAACCAAGGATAAGAAACAGGAAATGAACAAAAGGTCTTTGGGCAGCCAAAATAACGGTCACAAAGTTCATCCACTAATACAGAAGAGGCAGGCAGACCCTCACTAAGCCTATTTAGCTGTTTTGCATTCAGTTTCAGGAAGCAGTGTTATCTGGGTTGCTACTCCACAGAAGATCAGAAGCTGCAAAAATTTTAAAAAGGGCAGCAGGGATGCTAACAACAGCAAAAGTACAGCTTCTTCACCTCTGAAAGAGACAGATTGCCTACTGAAAGCAAATTCAAGAATTCAAAAAGCAGAGGGGACTAACAACTTACATATTTCAATCACCTCAAAGCCCTACAGGATTACTGTCTGTAACCATAACCTCAAGTCTATAAAGGTTTCACTATATTACTTAAAAAGACAACAAAACATATAATACATTGTAAAAAATTCTTCACAAAAATATAGCTAAAATAAGAATTTTTGCACCCAATATCTTATTCCCACACTGCTATATAAAGCAGAAAGTTAGCATTTAAGAGCATGGAATGATCAACTTCACTGTCTCATCCTGTACTTGGTTGTGTTTCACATTCATAATTTCATATTCCTTGACCTCCTTTTAAAATGTACCCAAATTAACACCTTCCCCTCCATTGGGTAGTTACCTTGCCAGAAAGTAGTCTGCTAAACACACACCAAAGCTCAATACCTTTCCGCATCAGCCTTCATTTCTTATCTCATACGGGATAATAGATGCAACCCCCCAAACTCACCAGGTCCAGAGCTAGGCCTTCCCTCTTCTGATTTTGGATATGAATGACAAAAGTCACAAGTGAGAGCTTTGCATTACATTCTCTCCTAAATGGCTCTAGCAGTCATGTTGACATTGTAAGTTGGTCAAAAGCTAGTTTCAGTTGCAAAGTAAGGTCTTCTGTTCTGTACCCCAGGTCTGTGCCAATGAATTCATTACTCCCTGAGTGTTACAGAGGCAGCTCAAGGAAGGAAAAGAGGGAGAGATTTACAGGTGTGGGAGAGATTTACAGGTGTGGAATGAGGAGCATTTCGGGGAGGGGTAACTCCCCTCTCCCACCCCCAATATGAAGGACCAGAAGACGGACACAGTCGGGTCAATGATACTGGCATGGCCAATACCAAGAGCTCTAGTTCTTCTATTAGTGCAAAAATATTGTCTACCAATCCAACTGCTCGGTGAGCCTAGCCAGAGAAAGGTGCAGGAGCAGGTCTGTGAAGCTGCACCCAGGCTGCAGGTGGCTAGAACACCACCCAATCACAAAATTAGATCTCAAGGCAGCTCCAGCAAGTAACATCCTTTACAGATACCCATCTCAACAGAACTATTTTCAACAGGAATCAGAAACACAATTTCTTGGCTTTTTTTTTCTTGTAAAGAGGAACTAAACAATTTATCATCTGCCTAGAATATTTCCTCCTCCCGCATACTGTTTTCCATTTATTCATTCAACCACCAAACATTTACTGCACACCTACTATGCACTATGCACTGTGAGGTGCAAAAAGAAAAGTACATCAATCATCATCACTACTACACCAAACTGTAGTGCCTCATTGTAACTGTGCTTCTCACCCCACCACTACCTGGCCCTTAGTCCCAGAGTGGCCTGACATCACCTTCAGAAGACAGTCTCCTTTTTACTGTTTCCAACTATGGCCACAGAATACAAAGAACAGCCTCCTGTTTCTAGTATGAGATTGTAGCAGTCACTGAGAGACAACCACTGTGGTTGCTCTTTTAAAAAGTTGTCAATTCAAGAGCTGAAGTATCTGGCTTCACGGTTTATACCATTAAAATGATGGTCATACAAAGTGTAGGAAGCTGAAGTCTGCCCTGCAAATAGAAGAAACAGAAAATTTCATTTAGAAATTCAAAATTCAGAAAAGACAAAAAGCAGAGGCTTTACACCAGTCAGAATGGCCATCATCAAAAAATCTAGAAACAATAAATGCTGGAGAGGGTGTGGAGAAAAGGGAACACTCTTGCACTGCTGGTGGGAATGTGAATTGGTTCAGCCACTACGGAGAACAGTATGGAGGTTCCTTAAAAACCTAAAAATAGAACTACCATATGACCCAGCAATCCCACTACTGGGCATATACCCTGAGAAAATCATAATTCAAAACGAGTCATGCCAAAATGTTCATTGCAGCTCTATTTACAATAGCCCGGAGATGGAAACAACCTAAGTGTTCATCATCGGATGAATGGATAAAGAAGATGTGGCACATACATACAATGGAATATTACTCAGCCATAAAAAGAAACGAAATTGAGCTATTTGTAATGAGGTGGATGGACCTAGAGTCTGTCATACAGAGTGAAGTAAGTCAGAAAGAGAAAGACAAATACCATGTGCTAACACATATATATGGAATTTAAGAAATAAAATGTCATGAAGAACCTAGGGGTAAAACAGGAATAAAGACACAGACCAACTAGAGAATGGACTTGAGGATATGGGAAGGGAGAAGGGTAAGCTGTGACAAAGCAAGAGAGTGGCATGGACATATATACGCTACCAAACGTAAAATAGATAGCTAGTGGGAAGCAGCCACATAGCACAGGGAGATC